CAAACACCAAAATAACAACTATACCTTATCAAGTTAATTTACTTAAGATTAGGTCATGCGTAGGGGCAATTACGATAAGAAAGGTTTAGAACATGGCCAATAAAAATACTTAGTAATAGAGAATGTTTTTATTACATCTAGTATAAGGCTCCTTTTACCATTTTTTCATATTGTACAATATCGAAGTGAATCGCTACGTACTTTACAACAAGTATTAAAAATAATAACAGTGGGATTTATTAATAAAAATAACACAAAATAAATTCGTTAACAATAAATGCATTATTTTTAGACTACAATATTAAGTTTATTCATTATAAAAATAGTGAAATAACTCCAAGTTTCTGAGCATAAGTATAGTTATTTAAGCATCACTTTTATAAATATTTTAGTAAAGTATCAAATGTATTTGAAGAAGTTGACACACGTGGTTACATCGAAATTGTTACATTTAGATTTAATGACAGTTAATTTCAATGTTACCACACTCAAACTCAAAACTTTCTAAGATACATTTAACAGACAACGTTTAGTTTAGATAATGGAAATGTGAAAGGATCACGTCAAACTGTAAATGATCCGCAAGTTTTAACCAGAGTATGTATTATGTAAAAAATTTTAATGGAGACTTTGAAATATTTTGGCTTACACACAACTAACTACAATAAGGGAAATTACAACAATTAGCCAAAATTAATTAAAAAAAATAATTTGGCACAGGTCATTATTAACAGACGATGTTAAATCTTTGTAATTTATACAAAACATAAGATGCTTTTTACAATTTAAGTATTATTTTTATAAACATAGGTTTTTAAAATATTTTATTTGAATTTTAAATGGTTGTACACATTTACCATGAGCAATATCAGGTAATGGCTTGGGGCCAAAGTGTAAGATGAATATTCACCAGCGCGTCAACCTACTCTAATTTCTATAATGTTTTTGTAGTTCTAGTCTTCCCGCGGGTGTTATAACACCTGGCAGACAGAGACCGAACAGCACCGCTGTCTGATAAACCCAAAGCGCTTACCAAAGACAGAGATTATGGCCAACCCTCTCACGTAGAAGATGCTGTAGTCAGTGCCAAGTACGAGTGTGCTTTAAGTTAAGTGTCGTCACGTTAATGACATTCAGTGCTCTCATTGGCCTGATCGAAATAAACCAACCAATCAGAGATCTTGACGCGGTAATGTTTCGATCACTTTTCTTTAAAAATAACTCGCACTTAGCACTCAACAATGACCTGTCAAATGGTTCATCTTATGTTTTAGTTGCAATTCCCCATAAATTTTGGATTGGAGTAGATCGATACGCTCTGGTAAGTATATACATATACAATTGCATACAAATTGAAGCAAAACTGATACAAATACAGATCCACAAACCACGTAGTATTTCACAGATTTAATACACACAATTGTAATGTTTTGTAATTAGGTAATTTCACTCATACGAGCTAATTTATAATTATTACTATTCCAAGTCCATTAAAATTCGACCACAACAGATATAGAAAACGTTTAATTATTCCGCTCAAACAGGGATAGAGATAGCGCTGGCAACATTCGAATTACAGAGAAAAAACGCGACCCTTTTTTAAATTTCTTACGTTTCTAGATTCGAAAGTAATAGTCAATCATTTCAAATTATCTGTGGTTAAGAAATAAAAATATTGATATTTTTTTAAATATAAAATAAATAAATAGCAAATGGCACTGTTCGATGTTAGAATTGTTAAAATTTAAACTATTAGTTTAACATTTTTTGATTTGTTAGATTTCCACACATATAATGATTAATTATTATGTTTCCGGCTTACTCACGTAATTGTTTGACGTGATACTAGACTAGTTTCAAGCCATGCTAGAGGTCCATATTCATGTGCAGCATTTCGCGACGCGCGACGCGTCGCGTATCTCGTCAAACAATTTCGTGTCAAACAATATTATTAAATTTAGTATGTCTCACGAAAGTTTTAACAAAAACATATACTTAATGATTGTATATTAAAAAATATCATACACAAATTACACTTTTAAAAAATGAAATACGAATTTACATTTATTCCGCCTCAATTAAATTTAAAACAAAATATTCATTTCATATCGCCAAAAATGTATAAATAAGAACATATTACTTTAAAATAAGAAGCCTAAAATTTATTCAATGCATAGGAAATTAATTCAAACAAAAATCAGTCTTTAGGTTTTATAGGAAGAATAAATTTTTAATGGATTCTTGTATTAAACATACAGGCATAAAATTATCTATGTTTTGAAAACAAATACTAACAAATTCTACATTTTACCAAGGTAAGAAACTAATTGATTTAGTTACAGAGACAGAATGAACACAATATCAAGCACGTCATAATATTATAAGAAAAACATAATAAAAAATGAATAAATATTATTTTAAATTAACACACGAAATTGAGATCAGAAAGAATCTCATTAAAATAATAATATTGCACGTAACGATATTGTTATTATTATTTATTCATAAAAGCAACACAAATATTGCATTAAAAATTGGTTAAAATACCGATGGTGCCTATAATATTTTGAAGGGTAATCACACTACCGATGTACCGTATGTTCATAACAATTATTAGGTACAACTAATACTTTTCGCTGTCCGCGACGATACTTAGTCTCGATTTCATAAGAATAAATGCCAAATACTTTTAGTAATACAATAAAATTGTATTGGCATCAAAAGAATGCGTACAGTCGCAGGCAAAAGAGTTTATTTAGCTTTCAACTTCTAACAAATACGTATCGAAAAATAACTGGCAGTGTAATATAGCAACATTCTATTTTCAAAAATTGAAACTATTCACAATTGTTTAATAAAGAAAAAAAAAATAGAAATGGCTATTAATTTTATTAGTGTACAGTTTAAACGAATATTATTAAGTGGAATAATGCAAATTGTTATGTTGGAATACTCTAGAGGGAGCACGCAAGTCACGCTATTAGATCCACGAAACAGATGGGCAAAAATAACGCGATACGTACGTGTGTAAATGCATTTTTCCTTATTAAATTAAAAGTATAAACAATATAATTGTGACACTGCGTTTTCTTTAAAAAGTTTTTACTACAGGTTTTTACCTGGTACCTGTTTTTTTCAGTACAGGTATAACTATTATATAAAGACTGTTCTAACTGTTAAAATGAGCACTATGATTTGTGTTTGTAACCTTAACAAGATAATTTTATTTGCTAAAATACGACTGTAACATATTGTGCCCATAATCATCACGGAGGTTTTTCTAATATTAATAACTCTGTAAGTAAGAAAAAAAAAACTGTCATCAACGATTAAAAAAAACTGACACAGATAATATAAATCATAAAATATCGAAACTCTTTTACCTGCGATAAAATTTGGCAACAACACTAATACTAAACACTACGAATATAAATTCCGAAAAGTATTTTATTTGCTGAAAAAACCGTTGAAAAATAAATCGTCTGGTACCCAACTGGAAAATCTACCGACTATGTACATTTCATACAATATTTTGGTTTTACTTACGCTATTGTATATATCAGAAATATTGAGGAAAAGAAAAACGGAGATAACAAATTCCTATCACACATCGTTTGAACATGAATAAACTTCACTAGAGGAATGTTATTGACATAATGTCAATCGTGTACCAGAAATGGGCGTTTATGACGTCTCATGAAATGAGCTATCTCCATTTATCTGTTTAGCTAGCGTTTTACTTTTGTGAACTCTATATATACACGATAGAGTACATAATTATATGTGCAACTCACTTAAGCTATTTGGTTCCGTAATAAAACAGACCTTGTCCTGACCTTCAACGTGTTGAATTATCAGTTGATAATTTTATATGTAGGTGCTCTGCACATGGACCAACAATTGCAGCAACTTGCAACTGGCAAACTAGCTGTTTATGTATATATCTTAAATTAACACACTATTAACTTAAGTTTCTGTGACAGATAGTATTAAATTGCTGAAGAATTTCTAAAGTTTTCTGCTTTAACTATTTTGCTCCATGTGCAAATCCCCTAAATAGTGCAAAAAGGTTCGTTCTATAATAAATTAATTATCAAATATACTCTTTAATATTTTAGAATTGCATACCAATTTGTGGCTGGCATTTGAGCATGTATAGTACCTATATATTTTTGTTTGCACACATTTTTTGTTATTACGAAAGTACCCATAACACGTTTGACAGTGATTGTACCTACCCGCGAACAGGGATCGAAATTAACTGTTATATAAAAAAATGCAATACTCAGTAAAGTAAATAATTTAGCTGCCATACAACTGTAATAGTGTTGATTTTATTAATGACAATTATTGCGCTATATCCCGATATCTAGACAAATAATAATAACATAAACGACACATCATAATGTATCTAGGATTTGCCAAAAGCCTCATGTTTCATAAAACGACAATTAGAAAGAAAAAAAAACAAAATAAATATTCGCGGTTTTTCCAAAAAAACACATCTGCAACGTACGCGTGCGAAAATATCAGAATACAAGTCGTAAACTCCATGGAAACAATCGCGCTTCAATTTAGCACGCAATTTTCTCGTTGGCGGTAAACCTTGGCTGTGTCGTGACACGGGCCGTCCTGTCAAACGTCAAACTAAGTATTCCATACACGTTAGTCAGTTACTGAGCGAGATTCATTAGTACACATCATCTATACATACATAATCTAATACTCACCTATGTCGTTAAACAATATAATACAAGGAAAGTCTCACAAATATCAACGATAGCCTTCCGAGTTCCCCAAATGTCAGTTTAATCTAATCCTCTTGGAGGTAACATGGCGATTATAATATAATATCACAGGGTTGTAACGAACCCTTTATTTCATACGTAAGTTTCTTCATCGCGGGCTTCGAACGTGTGTCGGAAGCAGGCGTAGGGCCAGCCCTAGCTCGACGGTTCCTCGGAGACGCTGTCCACGTCTGTGGAAGCCCTGGGTGTTGGCTAGCTGATTGAGGAGCTGCTGGAGGTGGATATCGTCTCCCGGCCTAGTTCCGCCGCCATGATGGCTATTGTCAGCTCTTTGCGCGCCTTCTGCACAACCCACACCATCAGTGTTATGCCGATCAGGATCTGAAAACACAAAACCAAGACATAAAGCATATTCCAAAAGGATTTTATTATAGATTCAAAGTGAATTTCTCGTAGCATTAGAATTTTGAACAAAGGGAAGAAAACAATTGAAATATACATTCACGGTTTCCCAATAATTTATTCGTGTATTGTTCGAGCATTGTTTGTCAATTGTATTGAATCAGATATTGTATTATTGAGCTTCGAGAATAAATAACAAACTATCACGACATAGAGGCACGAAACAAAAAGTAGGTAAATAAAACCAAAGACAAGGAAATAAATCGGACAAATTTATACCTTGGAGGATCCTTCATGGTCACTTTTGATCAACGGTTATCACCAGAGCCTATATTATAAACCTAATAATACTTTTTCCGTGTGGTGACGATATACTAGAATATAGTCACCACCAGAATATAGTCATATTATAGTAGAATATAGCCTACTAGATATTTGTCACTATCGCTCTTATTTTGTTTTGTAACTGTCCTAAAAGAGCCGACAAGACGTTTCAGCCAATGATGAAGGGCAAGCGCAATATAATGGGCTCTCGGCCTGAAGCAGGAGAAAGAATGGTATGGTTTTTAGTCAGTAAGAGAGAGAGTAAGAGACACTAACTCTCGCCTCAACCTTGGCGAAAGAAGCCATTGGATGAGTATTTTAATATTACGATTATGACGTTCTTTTCTTTCTATCGTCTATCTACATGCTGGCAAAATGTTTTTTATGTAGGTCCACATCGAACGGTGGACCGTCAAAAGTTTATTGATGATGAATTTTTCCAATGTCCTCAGGCTACTATTAAGCCATGAATTATAGATATGAAAGAACAACAACTTTTTTTTCAAGCTTGCCATGTGTGGCCTTAATACATATTAAAGACAAGGCAAGGCTTTTCATGATGGGCGACTTAAGTCAACGGATTGTAAAACAAAATTATGTAAGGACTGCACGCAACGCTTAGATCGGAGAGAATGATTAAACTGGTGGCCAGGTTTTAGGTTTAGGCATTCACTTTAGGACGCTTTTTATATAAAAACGTTGCCCCACATTAGGATTTTCTCTTGTGTCGTGGGTGCGTTAACAAACATACAATTTCACATGCACATCACACTCAGACCCGGAACAACAATCTGTGGATCACACAAGGAGTTGTTACATTTAGGATGTTTAGTTAGAAGCATGGCTGTGGCTACTTCGCAATAGTTTGGTTTGTAACTATTTGCGAATTCCATTGACAGTGCCTAAGTAGGAAAACAACTAGAAAACATTTTTGAAACTAGCTTTTATCATTTCGTCTACAAGTCTCGGGTTTAAAGTCATGCAGCTCAATATAAAGGCTAAACTAACACAAAAAAATAACGACTAGGTATACAATATGTCTGCTTAATCGGTTGAAGATATCTTCTTCAAAATGTTGTAGCAAGATTACACTCAAACAGACTTTAGTTAAAAAAGCTTGTAGACAACACATAATATCAAACAATTAATACTGGACTAAATCCATCCTTTTCATAGATTTACTAAATTCTCCATGCATAGCTGATTGATTAAAAATTTCAGTTTTAAAAGGTACCAGTTTAGAGAGAGTTCCGTTGCCCGGTATCTGTCCGATTTCATTCGGGTCTTACGACGTTCGCAGAAATACTCAGAATAAGAAATTCCCCAGAATGAAAACATTGATATGCGCCTACGCACAATGACGTTTTAGGTTTTTTTATGAGGAAATAAATGCTTTACATCGTCTGGTAAGTTTTATTTATCCTTAATGCAGGGTAAGGGCGTAACTTTGTGAAAGTTTGTGAAAAATACCCAATTAAACTCTGTAAATGGTTGAACATAGCACGTTTTGCCTAGTATAATATTATATGTATATAATTCTGCTCACTCGGGGTGGGACGAGGGTGTCAGAGACTAAAGACCAGACTCCAGGCTGAGGTAGCGATACGTTATAGCTCTTGCCCCGCAACACCGGCTTAACTTCATAAGAATGTCAGGCCCGCGGTGGTCACCACGAATGGAGCCATAAATATTTATCATATTTAATAAATACTTCTATAATATTGTTTAGATGGCCATTGTCGTGATGGCCCGGAAGTTAAGGGCCCGCTTGTCATACATGAGGGTGTGGGTTCGAAACCTGGCAAGTACCAATGTGACTTTTTTCGAGTTATATGTCCTTTCTATGATTATTTAGACACCACTGACATACGTAGAAGGTAAACATCGTGAGGAAACCTGGACTCTAAATAATTTCTAATAATAAGTTTGAAATCGACAACCCGCATTGAGCAAGCGTGGTGATTAAAGCTCTAACCTTCTCCGTGTGAGAAGAGGCCTTTGCTCAGCAGTGGGCACTTATAGGCTGATGATGATGATGATGATTGTTTAGATTCACACGGAACTCAATAGCGTTCCAGTCACCAGGGCGACATATTTCTCATATATAAAAAGGATAATTTATGACTCAGACTTACTTAAATAAGCCCAACATCAAATATTAAAAACACATAGAAAACATTAATGAATTAAAGAAATTACGTACGTAATTCTAAGACAGCAAAAACGAATTCCTAAAACATTTTCGACTTTATTACAATACTATAAGAAATTGAGTAGTGTAGCTTTATTTTTGTTAGCGTCTGTTAAAAGGTATTTTATAATATTATTTGGAAATATTACGTAATTTGATTATCGATCGACTTACGACCCGAGACGTCAACAATTCTGATAAAATAATACATCTTATATATCATACTAGCGACGTGCTGGCAGGCCCCGGCCCTCGTTCGAGTGCAACGCTGATACTAAATTTCTTGACTATTTAATGGATGTTATTATACATACATATAAACCATGTGTAGTTTTAAAGATATAAGCTTACATAAGGATATAGGGACAGAGCAAGCGACTTTGTTTTATACTATGTAGGTAGGTATGTGTAAACATAATATTATTTAATAAAAAATGCGGACTGCTGATAGCGAGGTACCGGATTATTAAATCACACACGAAAGCACGAATGGGTCGGCTCGACCGGAGTGATACCACGGCCTCACAGAAAACCGGCGTGAAATAACCATAGTGTGTTTCGCCGTGTGAGTGAGGTTACCGGAGGCCGAATCTTTCCCCTACCCCAATCCGTTCCCTTTCCCAAAATCTCCAAATCCCTAATCCTCAAAAGGTCGACAACGCACTCTTAACTCCTCCGTCGTTGCGGGTGTCCGTGGGCGACGCTGATTGCTTACCGTCAGGTAATCAGTTTGCTCGTTTGACGACCTATCACATAGAAAAAAGGTAATTTAATCACAAGATTTAGCAAATTTATTATAAACATAATCAACATTATCCCAAGCCCGGGTCGCGGGTGCAAGCATAATAATGTAACGCGGCCCATCCTGGAGCAGGAAAATGCACGGGGTGGTTTTTATTCAGTAATAGTGACTCCCTCTCGCTCGCCCCACCCTGGGCAAGAGAAGCCATTTGACGACTTTCCCCCTCAAAAATATGCCGGTTTCCATCTCTAACACAACACAAAAATGTTGTTTTAATAATTGTAATATTGTACTAAATTTAATTGTACGAAGGTCAAACTGAAAGTTCTTAGACCTGGCAACTTACCTATAAACAATATAATAAAAACATAATTCTAAAATTTGTTTTGACTCCGTAAACATTTTTGATTTGAAAAATTTTTTTCTGAACAATTAGCGTGTTATGTAGTGATGTAAATAAATAATATGCGTGAAGATGTGTTAACAGGATGAATAGCGTACAAATGCGACCGTGAAAGAAAATTAGCAATAGCACGCTACTGTCTGGGCTGACAACAATAGGTACTAAAACAAAATATTGGTATCTAAGGATTATTGTCAATAGGTGACCGACAGATCAAGGTAATCTGATCTGCCTTATTTATTGGATTTTAGACTTTATATCATAAAGTTTTACGTCTTTATTTATAATAAGTAAAGATTAATTTTAGCTCTGCTTTCCTCGTTAACGAATTACTTAGTATAATTTGTTTTATTAAAGGACCCCGCTAATATTTTTCGTCTTTGGGAGAATAGCGTCATGATCTATGAACACACTGACATGCTGAAGCCCTCAGGGAGATAATAATGTTGCTATACGGTCATAATTCATCAAACCCCAAACGAAAGCCGGCGTTCGTTTACTATTGTGTCTCTTATTACTACGATCGAAAGGTTAATTGATTGAAAAATCGGTTACATCACAGATATAATACATTACACCTACCAATTAATATTATTTTTGACGTGTTACCAATGAAAAAATATGATAATCAGGCCAGCAACGGATTATAATATTTAATTATAATTTTCCTTTTGCATTACAGAACTCTAAACAGCGCTGTTTCACAATATCAGAATGACTTCTATGAACCAGAAACATTTGAATATACTCAGATCGTGATTTAAGATTTTTTCCATTTTAAGAATAAAAATCGCGTGAACAATATAACTAGGTCATGCCATAATGAAGTCCCTGATAATCTCAAAAAAAAACACGTAAGCAATAGGACAACAGAATTATTTCTTGATCTCTTGAAATGTATACAAGATTTCTAATCTAGTCTAATCCTATTTTCGCACGTCAAGTTTTAAGTCCTAAATATACTAGATAAGCCAGGAAGGGTTAATTGAATAGGGCATTTAACTTTACTTTCCTATGAATCACAAAGTATTTTTGGAGGCTGCTAATGAAAAACTTTTCTTATTGCTAATAGACATTAGGATCACAAAAACAAACACAGACACGTGTTTCAGTTATCGTACAGTTGAACAAACAGATAATTCAAACAAAAAAATCCGCATAATTTGGTTAAGGTAATACTTAGTTATGTATGTTCTCATCCTGCGTCGTGAACTGTTTGGTCTAGCGATGACGAGAGCGGCTGTTGAACTCAAGGTCAAATGTTCATGCTATACTTAGATTTATTATTGTCAAAGGTAATTAAAAAGTACTAAGTAATTTGGACAATCTTTATCAGTAAATCAACATCATAAAACAGTAAATATACCTACTTTAAACTATCCTGCCTCAAAACACCTACAAAAGACCCCAAGTCCTCGACGTGAAAACCAACTTTATGGAATAAAGGTGACTTTAGTAAGCAGATTGATAACCTGACGGTACGGAACCACAACCAACAATACTTGAAGAGTTATAAATGTGTTGCCAGTCTGATGGTGGTGTTTGGGGTTTTCAGAAGTGGAGAAAGGAAGGGAAAAGACTAGGTCTTCTACGTTACAAACATGACAAAATACAATGTACGGTTTGGCGGTTTTCTGTGAGACCGCGGTAACATTTTTGTCGAGTTCGCCCATTCGCACCGAAGCATGGCCCAGACACACTTAGTAAGAATTCAAAGCACACAATAGCAAGCAAAAACAGAGGGGAAATAACTGCTATACTTGTGTGTTGTCAGCTTTTCAGGTCTGGTTTTTGGGGAAAGGAGATTCGTCCTCGCATAGGGATATCTACTACTACCAGCCACTTGAATGCATAATGATGTAATAACGATCCAACTTCCTCATTCACTGCCAGCATACATTCAAGGTTTGCACTGACATTTGTGTTAGATAGTTATCAGATAAGAATGTAGCGTGGCGTGTCAATGATAAAGAGAGCAAACAGTCTTGTCAAACTGACGATTATATTTAAATTATTCAATACCTACAGCTCTCAAAATGGAGATTTGCCGTAATATCCGAGTCTCCAGGATATTAAGGCTTTAGGATCGTCGAGTATTTGACAGTATATTTCTTACTTGTCTATGGCGGCTGGATAGTTGCGGTTAGAGCATATCCGATTTATCTATAATATAAAAATGGATTGCAAAATGTGTTAGTAAGCGCATAACGCACGAACTCTTGGACCAATTTTGGATATTTTTTTCCTTTATTGATATGTTGTTCCTGTCACGAGAAGGTTCTTATGAGAAAAAAAGTATTGGACAAAATTGGGAAATAGCATTTAATTGGCAGCTAGTAATAAATTATTAAGTTTTATTTTTATTAGTTATGAGGCAATCGAGTCGGCAGGACACGATGATGAGCAAATAATCAACATCGCCCAAAATAACCCACACACAGAACCAATGACCCGGAGTGCTTAACTCCACATACTCTTGGTCTCTTTATAACATACCTAACCTTCACTATTTGCCCAGATTAAAAATCATTCGCAATGATGTACCGCGGCCCCTGGAGCAGGAGAAAGAAGGGTTTGGCTTTGAGTCAGTAAGACTCTGCCACTCCCACTCGTTTGCCTGGGCAAAGATAAGCCAATGATCAATTAAATCAAACCCTATCTACTTTATTCCTACTACTCTTTCCATTTGGCTGATTAAAAGTTTTTTTGACAACCTTGTAATCTATCAATCGCCAGAAACATATAAAAATAAATTGATTACATAAAGACATTACGATTCAAATTCTTATAACAACAGCCTGATAATGATGAGAACACTTGAAAGATAATATTTCCGCAAATATACAATCTGAAGGACTTTTTATAATCTTTGCGGACTGATTAAAATGTCTCGGTTATCTGGTCACTAACGACTTGGGCGCAGTTTGCCCTTGATAATGAACATGACGCTTGCAACAGTACAAATATAAAAAGGAAACTAGACTGTTATAAGTTAACCAGTGTACTTACAAATCAAAGAATATTCTTATACGTTTAACTTACAATAAAAGATATTCAGACATCGATAAACTATTATTGTAAAGCTGGTTTACATCCGTAGCACGTCATGCACAAAGGTCCAGCTCAAAACCAGCGTCAGGCCCAAGTGGTCTGGCATTTATGCTGAACTGGGCCTGTTTGGCGCAGCCGTGAGGCACACAGTTATGTAGTTTTTCTTTATTTTTTCTTTTATATTAAATAACCTTTTTGTTACTATGTCTGTGTGCACATGGTTTGTGTCAATAAACTTTTTCTTTCTTTCTTTCTTCTTTCTATTATCTAAGTGTGGTTGAGCCATGCTTCAGCATGAATTGGATTTCATTGAATTGGTTGGATCAAACGGAGTGAAAGCATCGCCTCACAGAAAACCGACGTGAAATTGCAACAGCGTTGTATTTCGCCGTGTGAGTAAGTTACCGGAGGTTCCATACTTCCCCTGACCCAATCCCTAATCCCCAAAAAGTCGGCAACGTACTCGTAACTCCTCAATTGTTGCGGGCGTCCATGGGCGGCGCTGATTGCTTACCATCAGGTAATCCGTCTGCTCGTTTCCCGACCTATTACATAAAAAACCTACTACCTTGGTGGCCAACGATGACAACGATGACGCTAGTTTTTTGTCGGCAGCTAAAAGTCTTGAAACTTACAGGAAAAGTGTAAGCATCAAGTATCAAGAAGTAGTTATCATCCATGAATGATCTTATGACATTGACCGAGTGTCAAGACTGTAGGTATAAATAGTTATCGGTATGTACATTATGTACGTTTACCAAAGTCTACATACAAACCAGTATTTCCCCTATGTAAGTATGTTAAATGATTTATATTAAAGGTTTACATTGTATATTTTTGTAATTCCCCCCATCTTGTTACACTTGTTAGTGAACATATAGAATTTGGTAGAAATCAGTACAGCCGTTTCGGAGGAGCAATGTAACTAACATTGTGTCACAAGAATTTTATAAAGAAGATAATATAAATTTAAATCTATAAATACATGAATGCAGTATCCAACAAGGTTCGTTCGAGTATGACTCAGAATATCTAGTGGTTATAAATAACTGATCCAATATTTGCACAAAAACACTCACTTCTCCTGCGTCAAGGAAAATTAAGATACCGTGCGATTGTCCCACGGCTAAATACCTTTATTTAAAACTACGTCATTTAGATCTTATCGTATCATATCCATTTTATTCTTATATTATGTAAGTATTTTATGTCCTTACTAGCTCTTACCCGCGGCGTCGCTCCCTTTTACCTATGACTACGATTACGATTTGACTACCTACCCTACTCTATCCTATCCTATGTCCTTCTCCTGGCTCTAAACTACCTTCCTGCCAATTTTCAGCTAAATCGGTTTCGGACTTTCTTTTATATATTCAGCAAACGAGCAGACCGATTACCTGATGGTAAGCAATCGGCGCCGCCAATGGACAACAAACGAATTACAAGAGCACTGCCGGCTTATTTGGTGTTGCTAGGAATTGAGGATGCTCTCATATTTATGCCTACATAGTTTAACTGACTTATGATTGGATCTGAAAGACAATATAAATTAACAGATCCTTATCCGAGCCAAACACTACTGAAGAATAACCCTAGTAGTTCTTAGCTTTTTTAAATCAGTTCTTTATAGTATCAGACAGAGTAGTTGAAGGGCCATGATTGATTTTTTAGAATGGGTTTTCGATAAGTAAAATGATAAAAAGAGTTTATATAATTATCCATTCCTCCCTTGCTATACCCAGCGGGGTGATAAATAGAGTACTTTGATTATTTGGAAAAAAACAAAGATGTGAAATGTACCATTTACGTACACAATTATGGGAGGGTACAAGATAATAATAGTACAAAAATTTCACTCAGGCGAATGAAACGAAAAAAATTTTATCGAATCTATTTACAATGTTGTTTGTTTACTCGAAGTAGGTACCTACGAGAATTTCACAATTAAACACACATTAGTCAAGCATTTAAATATTATATTTGTAGACACAGCATACTGCATGCATATAAGAGTGGCAGCAATAATTTATTCACTACCTGTGACCTTTGGAGTTCACCTTTACCACATATAGCACAGTTCCGATGAATACGAGCCCTTGTGTAACTAAAGGGTTGCTATACCGAGAATAACTAGATAATCAGCTTATGCATATAACTAGTTATGCACTCGCGGTTTCACTCACTTCCTCAATGTTATGAAATAACCGATACGCAGCCCGTCTGTGTGAACGCGATAAGCTCAAAAACTACTGAACCAATGTTTATGCGATTACCACTTCCCATATACAAAAGTTTAAATGAACATTTTTAATACCTAGGTTAAGGCGATGGGCTAAAAGCTGCAAATGAATGAATTATCTTACCCAAATAAGTATCTTAGCATTTGCAGCGTATTTTTTAATTCTTAGAAGTTTTTTCTAATGAGATATTTGAACAATGAGTTGAAAATTTAGGAGAAGACGACAAAATCCATGTCCATCCTGGCCTATTTTAGTTTCCAGGCTTTATTTTAAGAAGATAATTAAGGAACTCCCTTTAAGTACTAAAGTTTCCTGCTTCGTAAGTAGTGGCACTTAATAATCTACTTGAAACGACATTAATCTATTTGTGTCTGCATCTATCGTTCATATGCGATAAAATACATTGATATCAATTTATTACGCAGTAAAACAGCGGACGTGTAGGGGCCTGTTTATGTACCTCTAGTTCATGTTCATTTCCCCACATGTCAAAATATGAACCACATGTCAAAGGATGTCACGTCACGTAAATATTTCTTCGTGCGACATTATTACTACAATGTCCGTCTCCGATCCGTTTGAAGCAAAACGTCGTTAAGCCAATTAACCTAATGTAATGAAATAGAATTGTCTTCATGGTCTTTTGTTGTATACAAAGCCACTGAGGGAAATTCCTTTAATCAATCAACATCGTTTTTTCTATCATCTCTAGTTGGCGCCACTTTCGATTAAAGTCTCGGACATCCTAATTGTTATGATGAGCGATAAAAAATCAGCTGTATCGATGTAACAGATTTAGCAACGATAATAGTACGGAAAAAACAAAACCACGTTTATTGAATAATAATATTTATTTGTCCAAATTTCAACCGTTTAGCTATTGCGGATCAGCTACGGCCAAATGGCAGACGGACAGACAAATGGGCAGCGGAGTCTTAGTAAAAGGACTCCCGTCTTGAAACTTTGCCTATGGAAACCAGAAAATACCTAACAATTCTAAATGTTACAATGTTTATAGAAATTTTAATGTTTCATCCTACTTATCTATCACACGTGTTTATCTCCAACTTCTTTATTCGTCTAATCAGCGCCTTAAACGATGTTATCCAAGACAAGATAATTCTGGACCACTTACAAGAGAATATGTGAAAACAACGTATACTATGACATTGGCCTTCGAAATAAAATTCTGGGAAATGGAATGTATGGTATAAAAATAAACGTGATATAAGTCTGTCAGTCGTAAACAAAAAACGCATTAACTTTTTGAGAAATTAGCGCCATTGTTTTTCTTAGGAATTTTGTAGTTTCCTTGGTCAAAAATAAACTGTATGAAAATTCACTAAAATAAACGTGGCGAGTAACGTCAGGTTTTCATGCACACACAGTCTCATCGATTTTGACTATTAGAAATAGGTATTGAATTTATTTTGGACCCATTTAAAATGTGACTTCTCTCATAATGGATTTAAAATAACTCAACAGTTAACTATCGTATCGTTGCCTGGTGGTATTTGCACAATTTTGAACAACAATAAAAATGAAGTAATACTTGACGAAAAACTCTTGAAGAACATGGATCTAAAAGATTAATGAAGTAAAAATTGACATACTTAACATAGGCAATATGTTAAAATATTTATCAGCTAAGGTAAAAAGACTTGAACTAATAATGCTATATTATCGTAGACCATATTACTGTCATCCACCAGGTAAGATGGTAGTCAATCTTTATTTAATAAATTACTCCAAAATCCCTCGTTGCCACGTAAACATTAAATGCTGTGTTAACATTTCTTATCTGATTACTGTGACAAGAAACATCGATATTAACTAGCAATCACAGTTTCATGTAAAAACCAGACACTGGCATCAAACGAAAGGCGGGAAGCAGATTATTATTCACTTTATTACTGGCAGTGAAATTTATAAGGATAATTTAAGAAATAAATACATTGATCAAATGGCACCTGCATGCGTCAGTCATATTTTTAAAGTTTTCCTTCCTGAGATTCATAATAACAATTTCATACGTGAATGGACTGCTTTTTAATTCCAAATAAACTTCAAACTCTAAACAATTTAGTTGGAGCAGAGTTTTTTCACAATCTAATATTCTCAAATGGGGATTTAGATTTCCTTTTTTTTTCCATTCCCAAAAGGCTGTCAACGCAGTTGCAACTGTAGTATTTCGCGCGCCTTTGGGTGACGCCAATTGCTACACGATAGACATGAAACAGACATTTTTAATTATAAAGTGAAACAAAAATGTATTTTAAAGTTGTAGACGTATGTATCAGCACTGTGAATGCTGCATAAAAAAAATAATAAGTCCCAATTCTTTACGGATTTTTCACGCTGTCCTTGAAGTGCTTTCTTAAGAAGGTTTATAGGGATTAAAACAGAGTAACGTCAAATTTTACTAACATAAGGTTTTTAATCGTCTCCTCATTGAACGGTAGAATTATTCTGTCCTACAAACCTTTTCTTAACAATAACCAATAGCTAACATACCAACATTAAGTTGTACCTGTTCGAAACAACCGCGATCAAACTCTAAGATGATTTTATACATGATCTTAATAACACAGGCACTTTAATTTTATCACCAGAAACTACTTTGATAAACTTAAACATGGACATTTTAATCTTAATAACAATGTCTATTAGAAAATTATGATACTTCCTTAATGTCATATTGATAGTGAAAGCCGTAAGAAAACAGGTCCTTGATTATTCAAGTAAAAGTCACCAAGAACCGAGTACTTGTTCTGAGAAACCAGCTTGAACTACCAGATGAATATTTAAGCTAACCTAATACCAACGACCTCGGTTACATTGGTAACATTACGTCCAAGGAAGTACTCCATCGTACTAAAGAATGTAATTCGAAAGAACATTCTAGAAATTTGGATGGTGTTCTTGCTCGTACGGATGCAGGCAAGGTTGTCAGAATTGATTAGTTGAAAAAAGCAAGATTGGGTTTTGGCCGAGTGATTCGTAATTAGCTTTTCAATTTAGATAGTACTATTAAGACTCCGATAGTAGTACGTATGTTTAGCTAACTAATATACGTTAATGTTTCTTTAAATAACGATAAAGTCAAATATCGAACGATAGTTCCACCAGGACTGTTGTAGCTCTGACAGTCTTTCAAAATAATGATTTTCATGTGAGAGAGTTATGCTTCGGTACGAATGATTTACTTCAGCCCTACAGAAATGTTATAATAAAATCCCAACTGAAATACAAAATCTTAATGAAAGTAAATTTAAATTATGTATAAAGAAAGTATTATGTAGGAAAGCATACTACAAACTAAATGATTATATAGAAGATAAAAATGCTTGGAGGGTGGCTGGTTTGACTGCACAGGATAAAAATTGTTAAGGTTAAGAGGAATTTTGATCTCAATTATTAAATTATTCACCATGTTGTTGATTGTTGATAAACTGGATTTTTGTAAATGTGAGAGCCCTGTAACTTATTATAATTGAGTTAGACTTATAGACTTATAGTATATTGGTACTTGTGTCAGTTGGGAGTTGTCATGCTCACTCAGGAGTCTCATTGGCGGTGGCACGGGCACTGGACCGCTCGGTTCCCTATAATATGGTTGAGTTGGGCGGTGCTGGTGTACGTGTCATGTTCGTGAACGGACGCCGCCTATTGGGACTGGTCAACTCGAGACTGTCTAAAGTTGCTGTCCCTGAGGGTTATTTCTTTTTCGGATACTTTGGTTAAACACTAGTGTTACACTGTTCTCACATAATGGAGCTATCTAAATTATGTAACAATGTATTGTAAAAAGTGATTGAAAAAGAGTAACCATGGAGTTTCTTGCTCGTTCTTCTCCATAGGAATCTACACTTTGGAACGAGCAAATAGCTTCACTAGAGGACAGACGGACAGACTGACACATAAAGTTAAACCTTATGATATCTTTTTTGCTTGACGTTCAAAAGTGCCTTTTTGGTCTATTTGAAATAAAGAATTTGATTTGATTTGATTTGATTTGACAGAAAACCGGCTAGTATTGTTATTTGCGTTGTCTTTGTATGTGTAAACTCTACGGAAGACTCAATCCTCACCTTTCGTCCATCTTAAAACATAACCCCAAAAGGTCAGCAACGCCGTGTAACGCGTGTCCATGGGCGGCGCGTATTGCTTTACCATCACGTGCTGCTTCTACTTGTGTTTCAACCTATTCCAATAAATATCTACAACAGCCTTCTTTTGAAGTTTATGTAACCGTAATCGATAATGACTTGGAATCGGTTAAAAAGTTATGATGGCAAAATTATTATTAAAACCTTACCTGAAATGCAAACACGACATATCCAGTGAGATGGGACTCGTGCAGCACGTCATGCATGGACCGCAGCGTGGAGCCGAGGTACACGTTGATTACTTGCGCTGGCAATAGGCCCAGCATCGTCGCTAGGTGATACCCACAACCACCAACGTCACTCACCTAAACAATAGAAACGTAAAATTAAGACATACGAGAACTAAACGAGTTTGAAGAAAGACTAGCGATGGGTCAACTAAAGTTATTTCATAAACTCTTTATTTATATTTTTAAGTGTAGAAGAGCCACGACTGGACTGGAGTGATACCAAGACTTCACATAATACCGGCGTGAAACAACGTTGTATTATTATGCCTTGTATGTGAGGTTACCAGCGGCTGATGACTTCCCCCATATTCAATCTCCAAAATTATTTATTCCCTCCTAATATTAATAATTCTCTAATCTATAATACCCCAAAAAAGGCACATAACTCGGGACGGGCCGCGCCGATAGCTTGGCATCAGGTGATCCGTCTGCATTTTTGCCGACCTATCTCAGAAAAAAATAATCTATCAACTAATTCTTTTTAAAGTTCTATCCTTGTATACTTCTTTAAGTTCCTAAAATGCATTTGATCATGCAAGCATGTTGAGAGTACTTAAGTGCACTCTGCGTCTGGCCTTTCTCCAGAATCTCTTCAATCAGGTCAGCATATTATTATGTCCTCAGAAACTTGCTTTACTGGTGTAACCACTAACTTCGTTTTTACTTTCGTAATCATGTTTGTCTGTTTACTCAACATGTCTAAATTATCTTGAGAGCCTTAAAAACAATTCATTAGGAAAAATTCCGCACAGATTTTTTACTTTGCGTTTAAGGCGTCTACTTTGTTAGTTTTATAGGGACTAACAAACCGTGACATTATGTTTTACGAACTTATTTTTTTAAGTCTCTAAGACTCAAACAGGCAACAGAATTAAGCATTCTTAGAAGATGGCAGATATTGAGAGCCTTTCCAATATCTGTCTACATCTATAGTCAAACATTATAGTCTTTGTCTCCTAGAGAGTTAACTTAAAACTGTGTCCTATTTCTTAATTTGGGATACATCGCTATACATATATGGAAGGACGTACCTTCAACAGCTAGTCACGCATACAAATGAAATTAATGATCTTATTATGATAAGTACTCCGTCATTTGACGGACATAAGGCAGGTTATCACTCATTAGAATAGAAATTCTGACAAAAAAAAACTAGGATTGAATTTGTTTACAAATAAATCACGATGAAAACGAAACATTCCATAGAAATGGATACAATTCACAATAAAATAATTGCCTATTTCTATAAATCAACGATTCCATAAAAACTTACAACTTCAATACTTTTAGAACAATTTGCGTGCAGTGAATACATTTAACTTATGTTAAACAATGTAGATTTGATACACGTCAATCCTATTACCATTTGTCAGGATTATAAAGTTGTGTGCGGTTGACTGTAAACGTGTACAATTATATTTTAGTGGCCAAGCATTTGCCGAGCGGAGTCACGACATCTAGATTGCTTTGAAAATTAGCGCCCAACGTACGGCGCCCGGTGAATTAAACAACAATTTTACAAACGACACCGGCTTTATAATAAACAATTCAACACATGCAAAGCACGCAAAGTCCTAGTAACCTACAAATTCACTTGACAGTTATAACTCCATTCCGTCGTACGTAAGTACAAAAACAGAAAACTGCTGCTTCATCTATGTATATGACCTTTTAAAACACGAGTGAGACAGGTCTAAGAAGGAAGGCTAATCGATTGTTTTTCCTAAGATAAACAAGTTGACCGATCTACGGTGGCCTTGACGGCGGCGCCGGACGTACGTACGAGTGTGTCCAAGTAGGCCAATTACCGACTGTATGAAAGTCAGTGTAGTGGAAAAATTCCTGTAAACACGTCCCGCTTCTCGAACACAACACGAAACGGGTACACAATAAAATATATACATTACTTTTCTACATAAATGTCAGTCTGACGAATACGATGGCTTGACGATATTCCGAATGTCTCCAAAAAACGCCTATATGATATTCAAATGATATTTTTAGACCATTACTATAGGTTGTAATGAAATTGCTAACCGAATGTAAATAGTTATTGATGTAAACGTTTCATGAGCTCCGAAACCCGGGTGCCTGGTGTAAGTATATTTGGCTTGGCCAACGTGGTGTTTATATTTTTCGCTGCAGATAGGATGGCCGCGAAAATAGTGTAAAAATGTAATGAGATCACTCGAGCAGCTAATAAATATATTGATCATGGTGACGTCAGCTTTCTTGCTGTACATTCTAGTGGTTTTCTTTGAGTATTTTTATAAATTCATACAGATACACACCCGTGTCAGACATCAATTTAATCAAAGTAACAAATGACAAATTGATCAGGAATTTTTAACAACTTTGTCGCCCTTTGTCTGAGATGAGAATGGCACAAAAACGCGCCAAATATTTCAACGACAGACAGAGACCACACAAAAAGACTGCGCAGATCTATATGTAGGTAGTTTTAAATAATAAATGTAAATACGTTTGGCGGGGGACCAAGAAAGATGGCGGCAAAAGTTTACTGCCCTGCACTAGATAACAACAGGATTCAGTTAAGATAACTGCTGTTGATATCTTCACTGGTTACAACCACTTACGAATTTTACAATAGACACTGAAGATAACAAGATAAAAAGACTGTGAATTACTCATGTCTTACGGTAGTCCCGGACTTGAAATATACAATATTGATTGCGAAAATCAACTCATCAACTTTTAATCACAAGCCCGATAAGTATAAGAAGTAATTACTGTTGACCTTGGTATAACTTATTATATCTTGCTTCTAGCAAGTTCTAGCTAAAGTCCATTGAATGCGTTTGGATAGAATCTTCTTCAACACATGAACTCAATTCAGAAGTATAAAAGTATTTTATGGACAACATGTGACGCCGGCAAGCTCTTTATATTGTCCAATAGCCCCATTTGCTTATTGATGAGACGAGACAAAGGCGACGCTGTAATAAAACAGATGACCGTTAAGTGTCCCGACGCGTCGGGGATTGTTTTTGAAACGTTTGCAACCGAAACGTCTCAATAAACTTTGAATAATTACATTCGGTTTCTGAAAGATGGGTTCTTGCACCAAAGATCCTTGCAGGTACTGATGGTGAAGATCCTCCAACAGATCCGTGTTTGGCACATTAACAGTTTCAACCGAACCAGATTATATCACAGGCCAATTGTGACAACTTGCGACTAATTTTGGCTCACAGACTACCTTGCGTGGGCGATCCTAATAACAATCAATACAAACACAAGGAATCGGATTGTTATGCGTATAAGAAAATGTCGCCAGTCCAACATTGGTTTAGTGAAAGTGAATGGGCAAAGCCAATGGCTAAATGAGAAATTGCGAATGCGGCCGTTCTAGATACCACAGCGAGAACAATGGTTTCATGTTATCATGGAACACATACGATAGTCGTACGCAATAATAAATATAAAACAGTTACAACAAACTCTTGAAACAATGCACTTGCGATAAAATGGTGTCAACGACGTCTAAGATAATAATATAATTGAAGATAATACTTCGAATCACGCCTGTTATTTCTCAAAGCAATATCGGATACCAAAGGATTAAAAAGAAACATCTAGAAACTCTACAACTACAGAGCGACTGCAAAACACCTAGCAAAGTTCAAAATCTTGTTCAGTCACAGACTTTTAGAAAACAATTGGCATAAGTAAGTGCCTCGCGTTCGGGAATAAGATCTGAATCAAAAACATAACAGACAAAAAGTAAGTGTACTGTTAAATCTCTTCTTTGTCTTCTTAAAGGCAAACATGTGATGAAAATGTTATATTATCTAGACACAGAGCATAGAAAATCCGAATAGATTCGCACTATGATCTAGATTGAGCTTTACAAACCATAATAATTCTCAGTACTATAATACGACTTCAATGCCAGCAGTTTTAGTACTCTAACCTATTTTCAGCGATAGCGAACCACAATGGCGTTTTGTGTCACATAACGTGGAAACTATGGGTGTTCACAAATATGTTTTTCAAGACGATGCACCGCCGAACATTCGCTAAACTAGTCCATCGCAGCGTTGCATATGTAAACAAGTTATTTAAAAACTTTTCCTGCAATCCAGACATCGTGTAGAAAACTCTTCTTTATCTTCTAGACATGTACCGATTTTTGTTCAAGCGACCTCTAAATGGTTATCTCTATTAATGAATAGTGTTTAAAGATTCGTTTAGTACACATTGACTAATTGTATTAGTAGTTTGGACTGACGAGACTCAATCGGCAACTTGAGACAGAAAATATTTAATATTATAAAAAGTAGCCATTTGACTTGTGATTAGTGTACCGGTTGATTAGTGGTAAATAACGAACCCGAGTGAGAGAAAAGTTAGTTTACAATTTTAGATATAAAGCCGATATCATATGCAAGCAATGCATAAATGCGTTACGGCTTGGCATCATCTCCTCCGTCTGAATAAGACTCGCATTTGAAAAAAACATGCGTTTACCATTTCGACAATTACATACTTTACTAACATCTTTAATATTTTACTGTTATAATCCGAGTACAATAGCAAAAACTCTTGAAAATATAAAATCCTTCAATTGATTAATTGGATTAGTTAAGTACAGACTATGGTTGAAATCACACATGTTGGGGAACAGTTGGGAACTATACATATAGTAGACTACAGACAGTCCTTATGTCATAGCAGTAATGAGGTTAATTGACCGTGTCATATTTTATTACCCAGCACTGAAGAGAATTTTACGTTGATACTACTTTATAGAACTCTTCTGATAATAATTACATTTGTTATGCGTGGACTATATGTATACACCATTTCGCAATTTTCCTAGCAGTTTTTCGCAGTGATTCTCAGTATGTTACCCGCAAAAAGTAAATAAAATATGTAAAAACATTTACTTAAGTAGTTACTAAAGCGCAAAATGATTTTTTGAATGGGGATTATCATCAAATGACTTATCCCACCCTGGGAAGCATTCAGCTTAATGCTGTGGCCCGGCCAACGAAGACTTGAGTCTACGGCGTTAATTTTTAGCACTAACCCGCATACTTTACACTGATCTACATAAGTAAGTAACAGAATAAAATGTAGATGGATCTTCACAAAAGCCTTTTGGTTTTCAGATATTTTTATTTAATTACTAGCGGCCCTTCCCCGCTTCCCACGGGTCCAACTATCTCGCTTACAACGAAAAGGTCGCTTTTCCCCAATTTTCCCCTCTACTTTTGTAATATTTTCTTTCATAAGAACCTTCTCCTGACAATAATAAATACAAAACAAAAGGATTTGTCAACATTGGTCCAGGTGTTTTTGAGTTATGCGCTGACCAACACATTTTGCGATTTTTTTTTATTATAGATGTTTTTCACTTTTTCTCGGATTTGTAATCTTTGAACATGAGAAAACGCTGAAGAGTTTTCATGATAAAGGATTGCAAAACGTAGTTTCAACTGGGTTAGTCTACTTACGGCTTATTGTACTGTTTGTTTACACTTTAATTTAACTGATTGTTGTACATTTTTACCCGACTACGGCAAAGCAAAAGGAGGGTTATAGTTTAATTGGACGCATAAAAATTACGATAAATTACGGATACCAAGATTATATTATTGAGGACAAACTGGTAAGTATACTATTATTTTCAATTTCGTACTACTTTGGACTTTGTTATTTTGTATGCGATGTGGTCCAGTTGGAATAATTATTATATATTACTTGATTTTATGCTCTAATAACAATAATATAGATGCTTGGCAGTCAGCAACTATGCGACTTTCGCGCAACTTTCTGCCTCGCACGGTAAAACTTTATAATGACCTTCAAATCCTTAAAGAAATCCTGTATAGAGCCTGCAACGCGCCTGTGATTTCACTAGTGATGGGTGGCGCTGATCGCTTACCATCAGGTCTGCTTCGTTGCCTCAAAAACTTCATATAAATATTTCTTTGAAATTAACAACAAGTAAACGGGAAAATTAATGAGATTTAGAAGTGATGTCGATAGAAATAATAGACGGAAAATAGCAATTTCGGTACAGAGATCGAGGACAATTTATGAAGCCTCAATGTAAAGTAAAAAATCGAGCAACGAAAATTGCCCACCAGAATACCAAGGCAATACTATCTTTTACTAGCCAAACAGGCATTCTTTCCAGGACAAATTTTTTTATGGTGTTGCCGGCCTTTTGGGGATAGAGGTTGCGGATATAAGGATCGGGAAGGGGCGGAATTGGACCTCCGGTAACCTCAATCACACGGCGAAACACAACGCTGTGGTTGTTTCACGCCGGTATTCTGTGAGGCCGTGGTATCACTCCGGTCGAGCTGACCCATTCGTGCCGAAGCATGGCTCTCCCACACTTAAGAGAACACTTAAAACAAACCATGAGAACAACTATTAAACCCGTACCAACTTATTGCTTTTATGTTAACGTCTCTTGATTTCCTTACTCCCTTGTACGATTGGGTAACAATACCAAGGTAGGACGCGCTCGACTTGCAAAGAAAATGAGGTACACTCATAATCACCATCAGAAACAGACCGTGGAGAGAGCCTGCTTTACTATAAATAAGAGGGGGTTTGCAATAATCTCCTCGCTTGGCAAAGAGGTTTGGACGGTTTTTTTATGAGATAAATAGGCAAACAAGCCTGATCACCCGATGTTAATTAATCAGCGCTAGCTATGAACAACTGCAACATCGAGGAGTTGGAAGTGGATCTCCACACTTTTGAGGTTTCCCCATCGCTAAGGATTGGGTAGCAAGAATTGTGCGACAAGCCAAGCATTGCTTCTCGCATGTCTTTTGTAAGGTTTTTTTTTTGTGAGGGAAAAATCATCAAATGACTTCTCCCGCCCGGGCGGGGCGGGAGGGAGTGTCAGTCTCTTACTGACTAATAATCCCCCTGTTCCTTCTACTGCTCAGGGCCGAGGTCGCGGTGCCTCATTGCGCTTACCCCGCAACCCCGGCTGAACATCAGCCCTATAGGGCCCCGTCTGTGGTGGTCTATTGGCTATTTGAGGCGCGCGCGGATCGCTACGAGCCGTACGCTCGCGGTTTTGGTCGGGCGGCGAGCTGCTCTTACTCGCCGACTGCAGACCCGCGCTTACGGTGGCTGGAGATCATCTCTCGGTCTTTTGTAAGGCTGTGACATTACTCCGGTCGAGCCAGCCAATGCTTACCGAAATATGGTTCTTCCAGTCTTAAAAGGGTTTTAGAAGCTTCAGTCCGGTTTACCAGGGACATTATTTTTCCTTTTTCCTCTTTCCTGCTTTAGAAATATCAATGAATTGTATAATTTTTTGTGATTTAAGTTTCTTCTGTCCGAACGTCACTGCAAGGGTGCCAACTGAAAACCAGTGTTGGGTTCTTATTGAGCTCAACTTATCTGGCAACCCTTTTGGCGTGGGTATCCTGCTTCTTGTTATGTTCGAATTTCTTTAAATAATATTTTGTACGTTAAGAATTAGGTACTTATTTCAGTTTCTAGGCTCGACATTGTTGCATTAGTTTGTTTGTTTTTTTTTTATTAAATTTTTGTTAAGTACAATAAAGAAATCTTATATAATTTCTTTCATTCATTATTAAAATAAAATGGGCTATAAACTGCACGCATGGGATGTAAAGCAGTGTATTATTATATGCGTGTGAACACGAAACTAGCTACCGCGTGTAACTATAATGAGGACAGAACTATTGTAACGGTTCGCTATTGCCGGTAAGAGTACCACACACGGACATAAAGCCATAAAAGTACCTATGTACATACATCATGTAAATCTACCCCGAAATATATAAATTCTTGGATCGATTCTCGACTTTATTGTAGAAAAGGAGGGTCTAATGTTTGTTGTAAATATTTAACAGTAAGGCATAGCTTTATCAGTCTAATTTTTTTTTTACTTGCTATAAACTAGTGCTTGACTGCGATCCCACCTGATGGTAAGCAGTGATGCAATCGTTGGTGGTGAGGGGCACTAGTTTATTAAGAGCCTATTCACTCTTGCCTTGAAGTCAGCTAAATCATATTTGGACGGAAATACTGCAGCCGGCAAACTGTTCCAATCCCTCGATGTACCTACGCGGTATAAATGACGAGGCAAAACGCTTAGTCCGGGCCGCAGGTGTCTCAACAACGTAAGGGTGTATATTTGCCGTACGCCGGGATGTCCGAAGGTGAAATGGGGATGGCGATAATGTCGTATTTGAAAGAATTATGAATCAATGCTGTGGAAATGACCTGATAGACATAAACATTAATAAAGTAAAAGACATAATAAACTGATAGACCTAAACATAAATAAATACGTAAACATAAACGACGAAATAGGTACGACATAATTATGTCTAATCAACTCCACAGAAAACCGCGAAATAACCCTTGCGTTTAGTTTAATCCTTAACAACGCATAAAAGGCTGAAAACGCTTTTGTAACTTCGTTGGTGTTACAAGTATGCATGAACTATTTTGCTTACCATCAGATTATCAGTATGATAGCCACCCTATCATACATATAACCGTACCGTGTCATCAGTAGACCTTTCCCACGGATTGACTATGTAAGGAAATATAATTTATTTTCAAATCATAAGTTTGTAATCGCAAATCCGGCTTGACTAAGCGTGGTGATTAACAATCCTTATCTCTGTGTGAGGAAAGGTGTCTGTATCCTGGGTGCGTTTACGGACATGAAATTGACATGCACAAAACATCCAGACCCCAAACAACAATTTGTGGTTAATACTAAGTGTTGTTCCGTATGGGAACGAGCCCGCAACACATTGCACAGAAGTCAGTTGCCCAGCCACTACTTAGACTAGTAATTTTAGGCTAATAAATAATCAGTTGGTTGCGGGGTAAGCGCAATGAGGCACCGCGACCTCGGCCCAAAGCAGGAGAAGGAACAGGGGGGGTTTTTAGTCAGTAAGAGTGTAACACTTCCTCCCGCCCTGCTCTGGGCAGGAGAAGTCATTTGATGATTTTCCCCTTACAAAAAAAGGGCTTATTATCAGTGTGATGTTATGGAAGTTACCACACATAAACATATCCAGTATAAACTTGGAACACATAATTAGATCGTAGCTGATCGGGTATTGGATCCGTTGATCTCAGTTACAATTAACAACAGGATTGGAAACCTGCCAAAATCTCTGAATCAGTGTTGAACATGAATAATAGTTTTAATCCGATTAAATTATGCTTTAAGATAAGACAAGATCAGATATAGTACAATTATGATTGTCATTAATATAATTATTTTATTATCTAGATACTTTTGAATCATTCAAGTTACAATAAGGATGGGCATTTACCAATTGTGATAAAAACTGAACTTTAGAATCTGTATAAATGATAATGTTAAAATGTGTTGCTAGGATCAAATCTCATTCATTCATCATTCAAGAAACGACTGCATTAACTGTGATTTTTATGTCCTAATTAATTTTAATGAAATTTATAGAAAGATCTGAGTGTTCATCGAATTATTGCTCCCGCTCTGCGTGTGGCAAGAGGAAGTGTCAGACTCTTACTGACTAAGAACCAGCCCGTTCCTTCTCCCGGGGCAGGACATTTTTGCGATTGACCCGGTGTCCAGCCGTTTGATTGGTTGATTAGTTTGGATTGGGCCAATCAGAGAGTAAACACCAGAGAAGTCGCAAATGCGTCGCCAGCGTTGTGAAATATGAAGGGGAGACGTTGTCAAGACTTCGTAAGCGCAGGTCTGCAGACGGCAAGTAAGGGTAGCTTGCCGTCCGACTAGAACCAGACACGAGCATACGGCGCGTAGCGTTCCGCGTGCGTCTCAAAGAGCTAACAGACAACCACACTCGGGACGGTGCCCTATAGTCTGATGTTCAGCCGGGTAACGGGAAAAGCGCAATGAGGCACCGCGGTCTCGGCCCAAAGCAGGAGAAGGAACGGGGGCAGCGCGGTTAAGTCAGTAAAAGTGTCTGACACTATGGGTGGGAGAAGACATTCGAATATTTTCCCCTCACAAAAAAGCCTTGTGAAACATATCTTTAAAGACCGGTACTGGGTATAACAACGAAATGTATGTTTACTTAATGTGCAGCTATTTAAATCGACAAGGTTCGAAAATTCAGTCTAGTATGACGTCAGATTTCTAAATATTTTCAAGCCTTCATAGATGAATAACAGTTTATAGGAACATTGGTGTATATTTGTAAACACGATTACCGATCGCCCGTTCCTTTAATTCCGTGTACGTACGTACGCAAAATGCAAGGCGAGTGTTAAAATAAATAGAAATTCTTCTTCTTTTAATATGTTATCTTTTCTAAATCTATGGTACATTATAATTAAATAAGATTGTTTAATTCATTGTAAGATTTTTTTCAAATAACCTTATACGGCTTCGATGAGGCGAAAGTCAGATTTTTACAGAATTAAAAACATATCCGTTCCTTCTTCGGACCGAGCCGGGGCCGCAGTATCATTGCGCTTGTATCCGCCACCTTATAAAACGTGTGAAAAGATATGATGTAGTTTGTGATGTGGCAACATTTAATATGGAAGAGAAAACGGAAGATTATTTTGTGCCGACCCCAACTAAGTTAGAAAGAAGATATTTATGGAGCTGTGGGAGAATGTTGTCTGATCTGTCTAATGATTTTTGGATCTGGCAATTTTTTTTATGTGTGTGTGTGTGTAGTGCTCGACAACGCTCGCCGCGTCATTTCTCGTTGTTTTAAAGGACCCTGAAATAGCTCGAAACATGTCGAGTAACATCGTCAAGAAATTATCGTCATGTAAACCAGACAACGTAGTTAATCAGGTAAGTACAGAAAAAAACAAACGAAATGCTGTTTTACGTTTTTAATGTTAAGTTTCACGATATAAACGTATGACGCAGTGGGTACTGTAGATGCATTACCGATCGCCATATCCATATGAGGTTGTATTGCGTAAATAATTTTATGAGCACACACACACACACATATACCTATACCTACCAGAACAATATTATGTTAATATAATTTATTATCCAGAACAATATTATGATCGAAAAAAGAATCCATATTATTATGATATTATGTAGCATTTTGTTCCCAACATTCCTTCTAATTTTAAATACTGCACAGTGGATTTTCTTTTTTTCATTCTTGCTATAAAGTTGGCAGCCTTGAGTAGAGAAGGCATAAAGGATTAACAATGCTGATATTTGTGTGGCCTTCAACTCACACCCCAGTGGCCAGTGGTAGGGGTGTGAAAAGTGTAAGAAATATTTTATTACTTTGAACTTGAACTCAACAAGAATTTATGCTTCAAGCCTTAAATAATTTTTAAAATGTACCATTGCTTGCTAGCTTGGAAATGTGGGTTTTATTTTATTAATACTCTGACTGGAATACTGTGTAGAGTAGCTAAAATGTGATTACCACAATAATGTAAGTAAAATATGTTCAGAATAAGTTTGAACAATTATTCTGTAGTAATTAAATAAAAAAGAATTCTCTAAAATCCCAGTGGGTGTTCAATAGACTCAAGCAGACAGTATTGGATACATGTCAAACAAAAACAAACCATTAATAATACATTATAGTCACATCTATACAAAAAGAAACCTTGAAACTAAAGACACAAAAACCAAAGCAAATGCAATTCAAACATGACATCTTTTATTTACTTATTCATGAATCTAATAAAACCTGCACAAACATTAAGAGTTCTTTTCTTTCATAATATCCTGGCCACATTTAATAAACCTTGTTCTAAATTTGAATAAGATAACAGAGTATTATTTTCTTTTTTAACAGATAATAAATCAATATATTCAGGCTATCTATCGCAGAGAACTGATAAGTTGGGAATAATGCATATTTTTGGAAACAGTTCCATATTATTTACATTACCTTAGATTGAGCAGTTTTACAAATATATGCTCATAAAATGATTTTATTTGTAAGGCATATGGTTGTTCCTATCCTGTGTTATTCAACTATTTATGATGCATGAATTATTGCAGTTATATATTAAGCTCATTATTAAACTACAACCACATTTAATTTAAATGCAAGTACATACATGTAATTGTGTGTAAGCTTTGAAGTGTTTAATAAGACAAAATTAAACAAACAACTGGGTAGGTAGCTACTTACAGCAAATATTGTGTTCTGCAATCCAAAAGGTATTGGCGTCAGTCTCGCGAAAAATACAATTTTGAAGGCTTGCGGCCCCGAGATCACCTTTAGCAGGGCTCGCGCCGTCTCGTTCTTGAGCAGCCGGTCCAGGGGCAGATAGTTCCGCAACGCTTTCAGAGTAAAGTGAGCGACCGCCACCCCAAAGTTCGCACTCACGAGAACAGTTACTAAACCCTGAACGATCCCGAACAAGTATCCACTAGTTATTATCAACACTAAATATCCTATAGTCACTGGAAAACTGACAATCAAAAATAAACCCATAAATAACAAAAATATTATCCACGGATCCTGAGCGTCGACCCAGTATAAAATCGTCTTTAAATACTCCTTGAAAAAATAAAGCACCAAAACCAGGCATGTGAGCAACAGTATTGATACTACGATGTTAAATAAATAACTGTACGTTGTCCTATTGTTAATTTTAGCCCATAAACTTTTCTTTCTTGTGACCGCTGTAGGGTCGGGCTGGCATTCTTCAACGTCGACAATTTCCATGGTGACTTTCGTTCACAAATATTAAACAAGGTCTATTAACTATTGTGTTTTTTAATTATATACACTCTTTCGTTCGCCATGGCCCAATTCAAGCGACTGTGTTTATTTCACGTTTACGCACGGCTGAGACCACAATTCAACGAACAATCAACCACTTTGACTACTTTTCACAGACTATAATAAAATTTTACTTGACTTGACTGAAAGAGAGTGCCTATCATCAATTTGTCAAACTTTGACATCTATGAATGTTGTCAGTTGAAAATGTAATTGTTAGAATTATTATGAGAGTTACATATTTTATTTACATGAGTATCATCTAACTTTGTTCTTTAATTGCTTGGTAATAATAACTTGTTCATATTTATATAAGATCAAAAGAAATAAAAAGTAAACTAATTTATGGTACTGCCATATGAAATAAAATATCAACTGTCAGATTTTCGCGTTCCAAAATTTCGCGATAATTTGCATTAGACAGAGAAGAGACTATCGAAAACTTAGGTTGTAAGAAGATATTGTTATGTTTAATATTGAACAATTGTTGAAACGTCATTCTTCCACAAATTCACATCTGTGCAGTGTGCACCGTGGACTGGAAGATATTTACTTTTAGAAAATAGAAATAAGTCTAAATTATTAACTAGTTTTACTAGTGTTAACAGTTAAATATTCTTATATTACTCGATTTAGGTTGAGTAAGAGGAATTGTATTAGGATCATATTTATTTGAAGGTTCGAGAAAAGACATAACCATGCCGCCGAAGAAAGCAAGCGGCGGCGGCGGCGGCCCCAGTAAAAAGACAGAGGCGAAGAAAAAGGATAAAGTTATCGAGGTGATAATTATAACCTTTTATAAAACATTTAATGTTGAAAAAAAGATATTTGTTTATATGTCTCCCATACAGTATATCGCACTAATATGGGTCATCCCATTTATCTAACCATCTAACCAATAATAATTATCTCACATATTTATCAAGTCACAGTCGACTAAGAGTAGTTTCTCTCAATTTTTTTGTAATAATCATATTCACAAAAATATGTACATAGCTCAATCAATAATTGTTAACTAACATTCCTTAAATAACAGGATAAGACCTTCGGACTTAAAAATAAGAAGGGGGCAAAGCAGCAGAAGTTTATTCAACAAGTTGAGAAGCAAGTTAAGAGTGGCGGCATCCACCCTGCCAAGCCCATGGATGACAAGAAGAAAGAAAAGGAGGCCAAAATGAAGGAACAGAAAGAGTTAGCGATGCTTTTCAAACCAGTACAGACACAGAAAGTTGAGAAGGGTATGTTGTACAAATAAGTTAAATTAAACTCTTTATTTGAGACCAGAAACAGAACATTAGTTAATATTTTAATACTTATTAATTAATTATTGACATGGTCATCAGGACTCTCATGTTTACTTGCCCAGTTTCTAATAAACGGCCCATCAATTTTATCTGCCACTATAGCTAGTACCTATACTGTTAGGACTAACTTGAACATTTAAAAAAACACTGTCCCACAATCTAGGATTTTCTCATAAGTAGTAGTTGTGCTTACAAACTGACCAATTCAATTCGCCTGAAAGAGCTCATAGACCACCACAGACGGGGCCCTAAAGGGTTGATGTTCAGCCGGGGTTGCGGAAGCCCTGGTGCCCTGGGCGAAAGAAGTCATTTGATGATTTTCCCCTCACAAAAAAAAACTTACCAATTCACACTCATAGAACACCTTTAACCTGAACAACATTTTGTGAATTAAATTTTAATTTAATGTGTTGAATTTTATTATGGTGTCATAATTTAATATAGCAGAACAGTTAATTTGCAAATCTAATAAACAAATATGTCACATTAGAATAAGTTGATTTACTAATAGCAGTAATAATACATTAATATAGTGGATCTTTCTTTTTTTAGGTACGGACCCAAAATCAGTGGTGTGTGCGTTCTTCAAACAGGGCCAGTGTACGAAGGGAGACAAGTGCAAGTTCTCTCACGACTTGACACTTGAAAGGAAAGTATGTATTTCAATCTATTTTAGATATCGCAACATTGTGAAGTATCTTAACTTTCTTAAAAAAGAAAAGATTTTTTGAAGCATTCTGAAAAAATCTGCTCTTTGCGTGGATCATGAATTCTTGTTATCAATTATCCTCTAGCTCTTATTTAAGTTATGCAGATAATTGACATGCACACATTTTTAGTTTCCAAGAGCATAAATGCTAGGCTATGGATGGATTTGCTCTTAGTCCTTAAAAAGTATCTCGAAGGTCTCCTGGGCCTTGTTAGCCAGCCTGATAAGTTTCTTTTTAAATATTTTTAATATTATCAAGCCATGTACGTAATATGTATACTGGTTGATTGTCTCATTCACATGCCAATAATAATACACATCCTAACATGAAGTTTTAAAATATATTTTTTATTTTATTATCTTCTCTATAGAATTGACATTGATGCAATGTCAATTCTATAGAGTTTTTCAAGAATTTTAGTTAACAATTCATCCAACCATAACTTTCGTGAGACATCCTAAATTAATTATTAAGTTTTCGGCTTACTCACGTAATAATTTGACGAGATACTCGACCAGTTTCAAGCCATGCTAGAGGCCCATATTCATGAGCAGCATTCCAGCTACAATTATCTTTTTACAAAAAAATCAATTAAATTTTTCAGGCTGAGAAACGATCCCTTTATGTGGATATGCGAGATGATGATGACAATATGGATAACTGGGATGAAGATAAGCTAAAGGAAGTAGTTGAGAAGAAACACGGCGAGGGTGATAAGCAGAGACCTACTACTGATATTGTGAGTTTTATTATTACAAAATGTTGGTTTTGTTTTGATAGGGAAAAGGCATACACTTTACATCTGATTAATTAAGTTCCATATAGGACGCAAATATGCCAATGTCTTAGGGTGTTATTTTAATTGATTTGTCTATTTTTTGGCCTCTTCATGTTAACATATTCAAAGGTCTCTTGTTACGATTGAACCAATTATTTTTTCATAATGTATAGTACATTATGAAAAAATAATTGGTTATACTTGAACAGCAAGTCAAACTACATTTTTTTTAAGATGCAACTTTATTAACTGTTAAGTCGACAATTAAGTTGTCTTGGCAAATTAGAGTAGGTGTCTGTATTTCACAAAAATAATACTTTTGAAATCTACTTAATGATATCAATCATGATTTTCCCATTTTTTTACAGATCTGCAAACATTTCTTGGAAGCTGTGGAGAAATCAAAGTATGGTTGGTTCTGGGAGTGTCCGTCTGGTACCAAATGTATATACAGGCACGCCCTCCCGCCAGGCTTCGTACTGAAGAGAGATAAAAAGAAACTGGAGGAGAAGAAGAATGAGATCTCCTTAGTGGACCTGATAGAAAGAGAGAGGGCCGCACTAGGACCCAATCAGACAAAGATTACACTAGAAACCTTCCTTGCGTGGAAAAAGAAGAAGATTAAGGACAAACATGTAAGTTGTGTAATTTATTTATTATTATTATCCATCCACAACTATGCCTGCATGGATCACAAGAATTACAATGATTACGCTGTGTAGGGAAATAAAAAGACAACATTCATAACATCACTTTTGTACTATAAGGGTAACTAAAAAGTAGACTTTAAGGCTTAAATTTCATATAATTCGGTTCTGTAGTTTAACATGCAACAGTTGCAAATACCCCTCTCTCCATAGTTACAAACATTCCGCTTATAATATTACACTTGATTGCTAGTATAGATTCAATGGCCTGACTTGCCATATTATGTGCTAGAATTTTTCTATTTATAAAAACCTTATTTGCAAAGTTGATGTAACAAAAATACAAAGAGTATCTAATATAATATCTAGCTGTAAACCATATCTATCTACTTATCTATAATTATTAAATATTTTTGTTTAACAGGATGCCCAAACGAAGGCCGAGGAGCAACGTCGCAGCGACTTCAAGGCGGGTCGTGCGGTGGGTCTGTCAGGCCGAGAGATGTTCTCGTTCGACCCTGCGCTGGCAGCCGACGCGGACGAAGACGACGACGAGGCCGTGGACCTGGCCACCTACGGAGACGAGGAAGCAGACACCACGGAGTACAGAGAAGTGCAGTTCGACCTCATCGCTATGGAAGCTTCCGAGGTTAGTGTACATAACTAGCAGTCGCTCGCGGCTCCGCAACCGTGGATGTCGATTTTATTTATTTATTTATTTATTAAAACTTCATGCACAATAATTTTACACATAATCAAGATTTAAAAAGAAATCTATTCATACAAACCTTTTCTGGACTCTCACGAATAATTCAAGACCAAAAATAGCCAGATCAGTATAGGCATTGTTGAGTTATAACAATACAACGAAAAGTGACATTGATTTTAGAATCGAAGAGCTGAGATTGAGATATTAGCTTTTGCCCGCGACTTTGTTCTGTGGAATCGTGACTTCCTGCAGTTTTTGGTTTAAAAACTATCCTATGTCCTTTCTCGAGTTCCAAACTATGTCTGTCTGTTCCAAAATTCACACAAATAGGTTCAGTAGTTTAGGCGTGAAGAAAAGGCAGACGGAGTTAGTTCGCATTTATAATATTAGGTTGGAAAATATTCATTTTGTCATTTCTGCACAACAGAGTATTCAATAAACCAGCACTGTTGTTATGTATAGATTTTCATTGTAGAGTCAAATTAATAATTTAATATGCAATAATACGAAATTAAATACTTTGACGATAGTACGAAATAGTACTAAATATATACCTAAGAGTCTATCGGTTTCGTAAATTCTCTATAGGTAGTTATAGACAGACTGGGGAGAGGGAGGGAGGGAGGTCGTGTCGTGTGCTTTGTAGGATTAGGTCCCCGGTAACCACACTCACACGCTGAAACAACGCTGTGGTTGTTTTCACGCCGGTTGTCCTTGAGGTCGTGGTACTCCGGTCTAGACGACTTAATCGTGCCGAAATGTGGTTCTCCCACACTTTATGATATGATCACCACACACTTTGATGACCCTGTCATCAGTCCCTATAGAATTAAAGGAGATGGAAAGATTTGAACTATTGTAATTGACTAGCTATTCAATCGCTGTTCGGCGCCATTTGATTGTAGCGTGATGTTTTATAGCCTTTAGCACTCGGGAACATTGTAGCTAATCAATAAGTGAAAGAATTTTGGCAATTCGACCGGCGGTTCCAATGATTACCCCCTACATACAAACTTACAAATGTAACCTCTTTATAATATTAGTATAGATGTACCTATTATAAATAGTATTATTTGATTGTGACTACGTTTGCTGACTGCGCTATATCGAATCTCGCTATATCTATATCGTGAAATCGCTATATCGTGGTGTAGGTATCCATTTCCACCATTGCCATCAATTTAGTGATTCTTAGCTTTAATGTTCTTAGCCATCAATACGGTAGTTTCCAACTAGCCAAATTAAATACTTTTATCCAAATGTCAAAAACGATACTTTTCTATGAAATTTGTATGAAACACTGAGTCGTGATGACATAGTATTTTTGCGTCAAATAGCTTACTTATTTCTAAAAACATCGAAAACTTAGTGTATCTATCGATGAATAAAAGTATAGTTATTTTTCAAAATTTTATTGAGTTGAAACGTCAAATTAATTTATTTTAGACCTAGGAAAGTACCCTATTCTATTAAGTTAAACGGGTGCTTAACTTGCTAGCTTAAAAAATCCTACCCACGTACCACTTAGTAGTTTCTTCAGTCAAAAAGATAATAGGATAAATAACTGTGCTCTTTATTTTATTATTAAATCACCTATAATTATTATGACGTCACAACTACGTACATTTGAAATTCATAGAAATTGTTGTATTTTAAATTTCAAAAAAAAATGAATTTGACTACCCTATGTAACTGCACCTTTTTGGTAGTTTTTGGAAAGTAGCATTTTTTTTGGAAAATAACACAGTTATACCATTCTAAACCAGCTTTATCTTTTTTTATACAAACTTTATTTTATCAGTTTGTAATCAGAAATAAAGGTAGAACTTTTTACTTTTCACCAGGCGGACGACACGGGCACCAAAGCGACGGAGGACAGACTACAACAATTAGGCCAGGGTCTGTCCAATGGTACTGGCGATGGAGAGGACAGCCAAACCTCCAAAGAGGGATCCCCTACCGAAGCCGCCTCCGCGGTCCCCATCAACGAAAACCTCTTTTTAGATGAAGATTTAGACGAAGAACTTCAAAACTTAGACCTAGAAGACTAGTATACATAATTATATACAAAGTGTGACGTCATTGGACCGTTTATGTGATGATATTGGTCTAAAGGCCTTGAACATTGGTGGCACAGGAAGAAATTTAATGTGATGAATTGAAATTTACCTTAAATGTTCAGTGATTAGGGTTAAAATTTCAATAATAAGCATGTGAGTATCAAATCCATGGTTGTTTTGTAGTAGAGTTGAAATTCCAATGAGTGTAATATTTAAAACTGCCACTCTCATAGGAATTGCAACTTTAATACTATATTCTTAAGTAACTACTATATTCTTAAGTAACATTTCTATTCAGCACAAAGTTTATTGCCGTGCCAAACAATGTGCTAAGCCTAAATCATTAGATATATAAAAAAATGTAAATGACAAAGCTAAAAGCGTCAATTTATTTGAAAAGTGTTAGTTGTTGGGACGGTCCCACTTTGTATAAGTCTGTCAAATGTTTACCGTCCCAGGTATAAATGATACTACAGAATCCTACAAACGGGCAGTTTCATTACAACTTATCCTACATAAAATACAATCGATTATAAGCTTTATTGCATTTGCTATAAGACGGATGGTAGCTGAAGAGAAAAGTAAATCAATGTTTGCAATTTGATAATTATAGCAATGGAATAGAATTTAAAATCGATTAACTGTACGTCGCCTTCGTTTATTGTACGCGTTCTTACCACAGTTACACCTTAATTTATTAAATAAATAATTATTTATGTGTTATCCCACTCCGCTCAGCTTTTATCTACCAACTTGAGAATTTGTCTACTTTTATTTTGATACAGTTATAACTGTCGATAAATATTGTACATTTAATTTAAAGTTTAGAAAGAGACCATCTGTCTAGTCACCGCTCATACTGCTCATGATAAGGAGCTGATATAAATAAAAGCTTAGAAAAAAAAACTAACACATTAATCGCCGCGGAGGTCACCGGTGACCGACGGTAGCGGCGGATTTTTCTTCAATATTTTTCAGTCGGCAGTCAAAGGCTTATATAAAATAACTACTCCCGCGCGGTTTCACTTGCTGTTCAGCTCCATTTGACTGTAGCGTGATGTTTTATAGCCTATAGCACTCAGGAACGTTGTAGCTATCTATCAGTGAAAGAATTTTGACAATCCGACCAGCGATTCCAAAGATTACCCCCTACATACAAACTGACACATTTTACCTCTTTATAATATTTGTCAATGCACCATATTTATCGCCAGGTACTGTCAATTAAAGACATGGATAGTCAGTTAAATTCCCACAAAATCATGTCCAGTCAATAACGAATACAAGGACACAAGAAAATATGTTTTACAGTAAATGTACAATTAAATGCGTACTGAATAAAATATGTATATGAATTTTCTTCATAAAAACTCAATGTAAATGTACTGCTCATATAATAATTAATTAATTAATTACTCTGTCAGCAACAAAATAACGTATATTATGTAAATAAAAAACGTATTTTCAACTGAAGTTTGTTTTATTTATTTTTAGTACAGATACTTATATATTATTAAAGGTAATTAACAAGTTTTTCCAGCGGCTTTGTGCTACCCAAAAAAATACCTATTTCATATTCCAGAATATAATATACTTGCTACACTCGAAGGTTTCACTCACTGCTCGGCTCCATTTAATCGTACCGTGATGTCTTATAGCCTATAGCACTCAGGAACATTATAGCTATCTATCAGTGAAAGAATTATGGCAATCCGACCAGCGGTTCCAAAGATTACCCCCTACATACAAACTTACAAATTTTACCTCTTTATAATATTAGTATAGATATAGATTACTGTGCAAACTTTCTTCAAACAACATTTTACATTGTTAACAATAGTTTTTACGTGAAACATAACAAACATGCGTACCTATATATATATAATATTAGTTGGATATGTTAATTTAAATGCTAAAGGTAAGAAAATATGGCAGCTTTTATAATTATATCTCTGTGGCATTCCCAAAAACTATATTGGTTTCCATAAGTATTATTATAATAATATTTAAAATTTATCTATTGCTGTTTTCGAGCTTGCTGTAAAATGTATACACATTTCACGTGCATAGCTAAACTATGTATAAAAATCGATAAAAAATAGACATACACATAGATATGCGTTCTTTTAAACACTACTTAGGTATAGAGGCTTAGCTCATAGTACCTAAATAAAAATAATAACTATACTTTGATCTGCATATGTATTTCGTTCATCCTTTTGAACATAAGGCACATTGAAAGGCATTTAAGGCACTCTAATACACTATTTAATTTTATCGGGATAATGACGTAAACAAATTAATCCGTTACTTATTTTGTTATATCATACAAATGCACCTAATCATTTTTAACATGTCATAATTTTCTAATTGTCGTTATCCCTATTTTATTTATGATAATAGGGTGCCCAGGATGGCAAATTAGCAGTACTTATAATCCGGTTGTAGGAACCACTGAATTTTGAAGGTTGGTGATAGAAAACAAAATAGTTTACTTAGGTAATTTCCTTCGTCCATGGAGGAAAGGGGATCGATAGTTCTCACCAAAGCTGTTAAGCGTAACTTTTTGGAGCTCGAGGGTGACAGATCGGCAGATTTCTTATATGAACTTTCGAATGACGAAACTGCACGTATTACTTATATTTTTTATCCTCCCTATTACTTATATTTTTTATCCTCCCTATTACTTATATTTTTTATCCTCCCTATTACTTATATTTTTTATCCTCCCTACCCTTCTGACTATATTAGTTATTTGGTTGGTGTAAGTATATTCATCAGTATACAAAGTATTCCCCATAATATGATAATCTAACGCATTGGAGTTACAAATATCCTGTCTTGGGCTCCCCTACTATAAAACTTATTTAATTTTCGATTGCCAACCATCTTGCAGGGTTTTCTATTGTAATCATATCAATCAGTTCTTGCGAGAAACCCTTAGATTTCATCTTTGGCAGGACGTTGTTTATGATGTGTGCGTAGCCGTGACCCCCGAATTTAGTCTGTGGGGAAAATAAACAGTTAATAAATTAATGAAGCTAAATCTGAAGGCAGAATGTACATGAGTCGTGTCGCTCCAGAAGCCAATTGGTTTCATAGATTTACTATGGTTACAAATGGAATATAATGAACAATTGGTACGGTACCTATCACGAATAATAGAAGTATAAATAATAAATAATTAAATATAATAGATATGACTGGTTTTAACAAGGTCGTGGCCATTCGAGTAAGTTACCTACTAAGGTACCTACCAATGTGCTTTGTGTATAACACAAAGCACAGCACAGTAAGATTGTCAAACATACAAGGCCCTTACTACAACACCTTTAAAGTTGATAATTTATAATCAGATACAGCCAGTGCCGTATTAAATAAAAATCATCGCTATCACATGCTGTTAACGTTCAAAATTCTATTAAATAATTGACCCTTTGCTCACCAGTCTGTGCTTCGTATGAATGTCGTGGGACATTAATATCCTATTTCCTCTGCCCTCTTTCACAAGTGCTGCTATCTTTTGTATTCTTTGGGCGTCGCTTAGCATGTCCGTTGTTACTTCAAGTTGGTAGTAGGACACTTCTGTGCCAAACAAATCAAACTGGCAATATGTGCCTAGCTGAGAAAATTCCAACAAAATGTCGTCCTCTACCAGTGTACCTAAAAAATAGAGTTTTCGAAATATATATTTTATAACTTCAGTCTTTGATATTCGTCGCTACAGTTATTTGGCAGGCGTAAGAGTAGACGCTATGCGTTGGAGTTTGAATGGGGTACCTCGTTTTTAGTCAGTAAGAGTTTGAAACTCCCATCTCACCTAGGCCGGGCGTAGTCGTTCATTGATTTCCATCTTAAAAAAAGAGTCACTTTTTGTGATGAGAATATCATCAAATTATTTCTCCCGCCCAGGTAAGGCAAGACGGAGGGAGTATCGATTCTTACTGACTAAAAACCCCCCGTTCTCTTGCTCTAGGCCGCGGTGCCTCTTTGCGCTTACCTAGCCTACAAATCCAGCAAAGAGTCGGTACTTACGGTCCAAATGCGACATGACGACTTTGTCTGCGGAGCCTCCAGCCTCCAAGTACAGCCGTATGATTTCGAAGGGTGCTTCTTTGTTTCTATGAGGATGGAAGCTCACGCCACATTTTAACTGAGGTTGCAATTCCCCTGCGGCTTTTATAGCCTTGCGTTCAAAGTCTAGAAGAATAAAAAAGAGAATAATTAAATTACAAAGGAGTGATTATAAATAGGTATTGAGAGAAATAATTTATTTGTGTCAGAGAAACTTTACTTCAAAGTTGATTTATATTCAGATGGGGCTAATCTATTATTGTTTGTCTAATCAGTGCAGTTTTTGCCTAAAATGATCTGTTTAAAAAAATCTATAATTGAGAATATAACAATAATTACAACACTAGTAGATTTATATAACCCTTCTGAAAAAAATATTCAACTGACTCATCATTCCTATTGTATTATCAGGACTTTATGCTACACAAGCGCCATCTGATCACCGCAAAAACATTAGCCATATTTCTCTAACCTCTCAATGGCCATACGCTGGCAATTTCTCCCATGAAACCGGCCTTGACTTGTTCATAATTGACACATCCCTTCGTCAGCTCTTGCAACATGTGATTATAAACATCTTCTGTTGATTTCTGCAGGGTATCCCCATTCTGTAAGTCTGCTATATAATGACCAGTCCCGGCAACGATGTGGACGTTGCTAGCTCTTGATACATGTTGATAAAACTTTATGTCGCGATTCAGGCCCTCTGTTGTGTTTTCTACTATAGTACCTGGAAAATAAAAGGTAAAAGATTTAGTATCATTCCTAAGGTCCAGTGTCCACTAGAACGGAGACGTAATGAGCGGTGCGGAGATGTTATTTCAATATCAAACAAAATGTGGGAGAGTCATGCTTCGGCACGAATGGGTCGGCTCGGCCGTAGTGATACCACAGCCTCACAGAAAACCGGCGTGAAACAAACACAACGTTGTGTTTCGCCGTGTGAGTGAGGTTACCGGAGGCCCAATACTTCCCCTACCCCAATCCCTTCCCAGTTCCAAAATCCCAATCCTTAAAAGGTCGGCAACGCACTCGTAACTCCTTCTTTGTTGCGGGTGTCCATGGGCGACGCCGATTGCTTACCATCAGGTAATACGTCTGCTCGTTGGCCGTCCTATCACATAAAAAAAAAATACGTTTTTCTGAACTCAGCTTCAGTCGGGATTATTGAGAGGTCATTTAATTTACATCTCCTCATCTCTTCTCCTTTTTATCGTCTCCTCTATGGTGGACTCCGTAACAACAGTGAATAAGGTAGACTTACGTATATACAACAATAATATATCTACAAATAGATTAACAAATCACTCTTCTACAAAAACCTTAGTGTTATAAATGTATTACATATATGTTTTTATGAATTAAGGATAGTAAAAATGTAATCCAAAAGAAGACATAAGATCTTCACTTACCTCCTCCAGCAATCTTGTATTCGATGACGTCATCGGTGACGGCACTTTGGGCTGCATCATCATCTAACTGCAAGTTGTATCTCAAGCTGTATGGGTACTGCCTCACGTAGCCTAATCTATGGAGCTCTAAGCTTGGTACTTGGAATTTGCCAGCCAGTGTAGATGGTGGCTCTCTGTAGAAATGCTCGAAGTTCATAGCCAGGTGTTCATGGGTCAGGGTGCGCCCTAAAACCGCTGGGCTCACGTCTCCTAGCACTGAAATAGATTTGATGAAGGTTTTTTTAACAAAAAGCTTGGACTCACACTACGATATGACCTTCAAATCTCCAAGATGTGAGCGTTCGAATGTTCTTAAAAGGCCATTTTTTGTGAGGGGAAAATCATCAAATGGCTTCTCCCGGGCAGGAGGATGTGTCGGACTCTTATTGACTTAAAACCCCCCGTTCCTACTCCTGCTATGGGCCGAGGCCGCGGTGTCTCATTGCGCTAACCCCGCAACCTCGGTTCTTAATGGCCTGCCACGCGCCTGTTACTTCTCTGATGTCGCAGGTGCCATTTGCCAATGGTCTTCGGTCAGCTCGTTTGCCTCTTATTCAATAAAAATAACGAGGATTTTCTCCTGTTTAGGGGTAGGGGTGGTAGGGCGCGTTAACGATATATAGGTACGTCAGACTTAGACCCGGTACAACAACAATATGTACCTACTCGTAAATCATACAAAGAGTTATTCCGTGCGGGTTTCGAACCCGCGAGCTCTTGAACGGCAGTCACCGTGGTAACTGTGCAGTTAACGATTAACGTTACAACATTATTTGTAAAATCCTTAGGTATTTTACGGTTTACGGGTGTAAAACGTTTGAGGCATCGTTTGTCCCCAATGCCAATGGAATCGAACCCGCGACCGGTTGTGCGGTAGACAGCTACCCGGCTACCGCGCCAAACGTGCTGTGAAATTAAGGACCTGCGCAAGACTGACATCAAAGACTGGGTGCCATTAAAATAGATACTTAAAGAATTTAATAGTCATATAAGTAAATTGCATTGTGAAAAAAAAGCTGCTACCTCTGCTCTCTGCTACCTACCAACTTAGGTAGATATCAACGCATTCATAAATACATATGTTCCAAATTATTACTGCTATAGTCATGTAAATTAGCATACTGACATATCTACTAAGTCATTACAAAATAGATCTTTGTCAAGATATATAATGATCGGTGATTAAATAGGTAGAATATTTTTGGTTTTTCCGATACTTAGTTTAATTAAATATAAATCTGGAATAATAAAGTTGCCCAATACCATCCAAAAAATGTATTACCACGCAGTTTGCGTAATACAGCCCCGATAACACAAAGTAAAAATAAAATGAACAAAAAAATACTTACCGGTTTGCACCTTCGAAGACATTTTGAATTTATCAATGTAGGCACCTAACTACAGTAAAGTTGGCGCTCAACTGCGTCAAATTAATTATTATAGGTTGTTTACCTTATTGCTTAACAATGCAAATATTTATAACAAAGTAAGTATATCTAAATAAAGAGATATTATACCTATCATAATTAATGATACCTATTAGATAGCTTGCATCCTTTAATTTGATAGGTAGAGTATTTTATCTTTACAATTATAAAACAACAAACACTGAGATACCTAACTCGGTTTACTCAATTCGATAACCAATGAAACTAAACAACGAACGAGGTCAAGTTTGTAGGCGAACATTATAAACACGCTCGGGGCTGCCATATTTAAAAATAGATTTTACGTTTTCATCCACGCTACCGAGTTTTTGTCTGCGTTGAATGGAACGCAGTACGCGGGAGTTTCAAGATGCTGTCTTCGTTTCACTATGGCAACGGCAGTTGTTTTTGTCGAGAGCTATCGTTAGGTACCAACTTTTGTTTTCACGTGAAATACTTATTGTAAAGGATAGGTTCCTAAGACAATGCCTATTTTAGTAAAAGATTTCACGTGGTCCCAAACCAATAATGTTGTCCATATCAGAGTCCCGTTAAATCCAGTTGCGCATGAGAAAGTAGATTTATTTCCTACTGAAAAATACATTAAGGCTAATTTCAGTCCATTTCTGTTCGAAGTGTTTCCGCTTTACGATGTTGATATAAAGAAAAGTAAATGCTTTGTAAAGGAAGATGTGATTATTTTAGACTTGATGAAATATGAAGAAGTTACTTGGGAATGTTTAGAAAAGGAGCTTACAAAGGAGGAGAAAATGAAAATAAGGCAAGAAGTTCTTGAAAAGTGTCTGGAACAAGCAAAACAGGAATCAGAAGAAAGGAAAATTAAAAAGAGTCAGTTGGATAGGTACACTGTTCAGCAAGCGATGGAAATAGATAGCCAACAACATAAGCTAATGGACTCTAGACGAGACTTCGAAAGGAAGAAAGCTATGGATGAGTTAGAGGAATGGAGATTAGGTAAGGTGAGTGTTACCGAAGAGCCTAATGAACCTAAACTACCAGAAGGTCAGGGGGATGAGAAAATTAAAGCACTACCACCAACAAAATGCGAAGAAAGAGTCGAAGTCAAAGAAGATAAAAATGTGGAGCAAGTAAAAAACGAGGAGAAAATTAATAAAGAACCCCAATCAAAGCCAGTACCGAGAGTACAGAAACCACCAAAACCTGTGAAGACTCCAGTAAAGTCAGAATATGTAGAAAAAAAGAAACAGGAGACTGCAAAGAGAGTGCTTCCTATGCTGAGGCCAACTATGAATCTAGAGATAAACCACACGGCGCGAACTTTCCCCACGCCTAGCAGAGAATCTACTGCAGAGGAAGAACAGGCTTGGCTGAAGAACATCACCTTAGCTAGGCGAGCTACTGGTAAGATGACCTCCGGTTATTACTTCACGTAGCTACTTACTATACTACTCATAGTACATAGTACTTGTAAGTGTGTATGCATTAGGTAGGTACCATATATGCACTTGATTTATTGTCAATTTACGTTGAAATCTTGCCATTGCTATCATTAATATCTTTCTTGCAATAACAGGTTTCGTCTCCGAAGACCTACGACCAGAAGAACAAGATCCTCAATGGTGCAAGGCAAAGGGTGACGAGTTCTTCAAAAGTGGCAATTTTCTCGGAGCAGTCAGTGCTTACACTCACGGCATAACGCTGTCGGATAAATTGCCCAGTCTGTTCGCTAACAGGTCCGCGACACATTTCGCACTCGGCAATTTCAATAAATGCGTAAGTATTTTTCTGAACAAAAAAAAGTTGCTTGTTGTAGTTGTGTTTTTCTCTCACAATCGCAATAAAGAAACTCATTTTCAAATTTAAAAGGTACAGCGCGTTTAATACTTTCAATATTTGAATTCCAGCTAAATGACTGTTCCACGGCGTTAGACCTTATGAAGCCAGCTTGTGAGAGTAACCGACGCAGTCGTGCGAAGTGCATCGCCAGACGTGCGGCCGCACTCGCTCGCCTCGGCTACCTCAACAAAGCCATAGACGAAATGAAAGCTGCCAGCAAACTACTACCGGATGACGAAACTATTAAAAAAGATATTTATGACATGGAAAGAGCTTGGGAACAAAATCCTGATTCTGACTAATGGAGTTATGAAAGCAAACACAATTATTGTACAACAGAAACATTATAATATTAGGAATAAAATTATAATATATCAACCAAATGCTATATTACATTCACTCTTCAATAACTTTTTTGGGTAGTCCAAGGTTCTTAAGGAGAGCATGGGGAGAGGGGTCTCGTCCTCGGAACCTTCTGAACACCTCACTAGGATGACAACTGCCTCCCACAGCTAAGAATGTGTCTCTGTACCTTTTTCCCACTTCTGAAACATTCTGGTCACCCTTCTTGGCTTCTTCAAATGCACCATAGATGTCTGCAGCAATCATTTTGGACCATAATCGGCAGTAGTATGCACTTCCCCACTCCTCAGAGAAAATCTTCGTGAATGAAAGGGGGTGAGAATCGTACTTGTCGAAAGACAGAGCATGGTATTTTGGCCACATCTCCCTTACAATGTCTCTCCAGAAATCCTTTTTCGTATGTAGTTCCAAGTCAAGTTTTGATAGGTACAGCTCTTTGCACAAGTTGTAACCTGACATGTGGCCTCTGATGTTTTGTAGATTTCTCACAATTTCGTCAGGTAGGGGCTCTTCTGTTTCAAAATGACCACTAACTGAATTGATAGTTTGTGGGTCATACAGCCAGTGAGTCATCACTTGCCCACACACCTCGGCAGCATCCCATTCTACATTAGAGAGACCAGCAACCTCTGAGTAATTAGCCTTGGTCAGTAAATGACGAAGTGAATGACCAAATCTTTGAAACAGAATACTAACTTCATTGAATGACAGTAAAGAAGGTTGGCCATCTGATGGAGTTTGGAAATTAAATATTAATGCAGATAATGGAGCAGTACCAGTTGATGTGCATTTGTTTCTGACAGCAATATGCCACCCTGCATCATCATAAATGCGAATTTTTAGATCCTTGCGAGCATATGGGTCCAAGTAGAAGTTAGCTACTGGAGCCGTGCTGGATTCATCAAACACATCATAGAATTTGACATCCTTGTGCCAAGTATGGATTCCCACTCTCTCTACAATTTGAATATTAAACAGCTTACTGCATAGTTCAAAAAGACTATCAATAACTTTGGGTAGAGGGAAGTATTCCCGAATTTTGTCTTCATCAAAGCCATACATTGACCATTTCTGTTTTCTTTGCCAGTAAGGTATATCCCAGTGTTCTAACTTAACATCAAAGCCTCTGTCTTGTGCATATCTTTGTAATAATTCTATTTCTGCATCTTGCATTGACCTGGCACTCTCCAGCAAGTTGTCGAGGACATTGTTAACATTCTCCACAGACCCTGCCATTTTGGTTTCCATGCTCATATCTGCAAATGTTTCATAACCCAATATCATTGCTTGTTCTCTTCGTAGGCTCCTTATGTTTTCTAAATTTGTAGCGGTTTCAATTTCTTTGTTTACATAACTTGAGCACCTTTGTACATGTGCCTGCCATGCATTCCAACGGAGCTCCCTGTCTGGACAATACTGCATAAATGGTTCATATATATGGGGCTGTAGTGTGACCTTCCAGGGTCCTTTGGTGGGATCTGCACCCATAGCCATTGAGTATACTAACCCACTAGGAAACTCTCTCATAAGGTTTGCATCCTTGATAGTACTTGTGAAGACTTTGTTTGCTACATTTACTTTATCTCTGAACATTTGCCGTTCTTTCTGTAGCCCTGCCAGGATATTGTTCAGTCTCTCTCTTTTGATACCTTTCACATCTAGACCATTTAGTTTACCTTCTAAAATGTATTTGTCTAACAATCTCTGTTCCTCATCTGTAAGCTTTTTGTGTCGGTTCTTTTCTGTAACTGCTGCTTGGAAGATGGGTATGCTGTTGAATTTTGATGATCTTGCTTTGTGCGCTCTCTCGTGTATTTGAATGTAGGACTTTGTAGGCATTAGTGAACTGTTACCGAGGTACAGTGTCTTAGCCATGCCCCAAGTGAGTTCTAATTGAGAGTCGAGTTTCTCTAATGGTTGAAATATTTCCACAAAAGCATTTTTACAGTTTTGTGAACCATGCTCAATCTGTCTGACACCGTTTTCGTACTCCAGGCTCTGTCTGCTGATTGTGGCGATGCATTTTTCAATTGAAATGTCATTGAACTCTGGCAGCCCGTTATCTGACAGCAAAGTGTTTTCTGCATCCTCACCTATTTCAGGAATACTGAAAAAATAATACACGCAGTTATAGTCAAACTACCTACAGTAAGTGAATGGGTTATGATGGTGTTACTTTATTTTATAAAATTAATTTATTGCTTGTACACAATATGAATTACTCTTTTCCGATTACAGTTCTTTATTCACAAGGTCAACAATTCAATATCCAGGATTTACATGTTACGTAAATAATACTGTGAATAACCCTGTACTGCCGACTTATCAGGCTGGGTGTAACATGGGTATCGAACTGACCGAGTACATTGTGCACCTTAATTTTAATACAGAAAATAGTTGTATACATTAGGAACTTTAACATTTTCATTCAGTAAGTAACAATAATTTATTTATTCGATTATTTATAATCAATGATACTTACAGAACAACGTATCCAGCGTTTCGTTTATTTTGGTAAAGTTGTCGTTTGACATTGCGGGCGATTCCACTGCTACGTAGAAACGATAAAGCCATTATTATATCCTTTGTATTTCTGTTTGTAAATTAATTACATTAGTTTTAAATTATTTCATAATCCAAATGCCGAAATCACATTCACTTCACATTGATTGATTGTGAATTTTTGACAGCTGATTAGACATAGACAATAGATAGACAACTAGAACGGACAAGTTTTTTTCTACATTTGGATATCTATCAATTTCAGATTCAGGTTGTATTTATTACCCTCGAAAAGAAAGTATTGTAAGGGTACTGATTTGAAATTGTATTTATTTGTGTTGAAAAACGTTTTTGAATAATAAGTACCAAGTTAGTCAAGTTTTCATAATCCTGTGATAAGCTGCAAGAAGAACAGACTGCTGTTATTTTAATAGTATTATGTATACTTGATCTAGTATATATCAATTTCATCCTTTGCATAAGATAGGAATTTCATACTATGCGTTAGCATTAAGTTTTGTTTTGTAACAAAACTGCAAAAAACTTGTCGTAGTAGTGGAAAATAAAAAAACCAGTAAATGTTTGTATAATTACTAAGTTTTAATAAAATTCTATGATTAACGTATAAAGAACAAACTGAAGATTAATAAAATATGCACAATAACTATTTTACAGTAATAAAGTCAACTTTTTCGCTGTCTTTTTCAATAACAGCTGCGATATTATCTACCAAAGAGACATTGACCATTTGACATGAACACAATGCATTACAAGCGTTACAAGTACTTTGTTCCAGGCTAATTTCTTTCCCTTCTTGTTTCGTATTAGTTTCTCTAACAGGTGGATTACAGCAGAAATCTGTGTCGAGTCCCATTTTCTCTCCATCTTCTAAAGTTTGAGGTAAATGTTGATTCAATGTTTCTGGCAATAACAAACTTGCTATTCCTCCTGCCACTAGCAAGGCGCCCATTATAATTAATGGAAGGACCATTATATCGGAACCCTAGAAACAAAGAAGGTTAATTTTTAGCGACGTCAGAGGTTGGTACTACTCCTTATGCGGCGAGTGTTATGATGATGTCTTACCAAATAATTGACGAGTGGTATAAAGATTGGGCCCAACATGCCAAGCACAGAGCTGAGACTCATACCAAGGCCCCTAACCACTGTCGGATATAATTCTGAAGCCATCAGAGGTAACACTACGAAGGAAGATGATATACCCATTTTGCCAACGCAGTACAGAGCTAAGGTGACGTAAGTTTCTGAAAACAAAAATATTTTTAGGATCAAGTTTTCATCATGCTTAATAGAGTTAAATTGAACTCACCGTGTTGTACCAAAAATGTTGTTAAACAAGCTATTCCTCCGACTACCATACTCATGCATAAGGTCCACCTTCTTCCCAGCCTTTCCATGGAGGGCCACAGGAACAGATAGGTGGGCAACTCCACAATTCCAGCCAAAAAGAAATTTAGAAATTCATCCCCACCTAAAACTGGAGCATAATAGGATAAACCAACATAAACACTGGTGTTGGTAAACCATATAAAAGTAATGATTATGGTTTTCTTCCTCAAATTGGGGGTTCTGAACAAGTCCAGAATGCCATATTTCCTAGTTTTCGACTTTTCAATGTTTTGTTTTAATTTATCCGTTTCGTATTTGCGATGTAGCTGCACCATATAGTTAGCTGGTAGGGATTTGCCGTTTATCCTGTTGAACATGAAAAATGGTGAGAATATTATCAGACTGTCTCTTCCGACTGACTTCGAATGACTACTGAAAAAGGGATTTTGGGTTCGTTTCCTAGGACGGATAAAGTATTATTGAGATTATTTCAGATTTCAGAAAATAAATCTAAGTGGTCGCACGTAAATCCTGATAAAAGGAGTAACGATAAAAAATATGCGTATAATAATAAGAAGCATAAAAAAACTGACCGGGCAATGTTCCTCAAGATGACTTCAGCTTTCTCGAACTCTCCTCTCGCCAGAAGCCAGCGCGGGCTTTCGGGCATTGGCCAAAGGTATAGAAAGAAGCAAACGAAGGGTAATGTAGTAGCCAGAGCGAGATGACGCCAATCCCTCACTAAGTAGACCACTCCAGCAAGTAAAATGAGACCCGTGGAATAAGCGATGTTGGATAGAATGGTACAAAGCGTCCTGCTACGTGGTCCCACCAGCTCAATTGCTAGAAGAATATTATTTAGATTAATAAGACCTCAGGAATTTGACACTAGATATTTACCGAGTAAAATTATTTTATTACTGATGATGGTGGTTCCTAATTTGGTCCTCATGGACTGTATCTGCTGCATAAAATTGGACGATGACTGTGATCAGCAGATATCGAAAATCAAAGAACAAGGGTAGCAGTTTATGAATATAACACATGAAATATTATATACTACTTAGTCTTATAAGTTATAAACAGAAAAATAAGTACCTAAAACGTAAGGCGTAGTCATAATAGCAGGCACGGTGAAACCCACGCCAAACCTATAGATGCACCATATAACGTAGTTCTGTGCGAATGCAGTGGCCACTCCAAAAATACACTCTATTAGGAGGTAGATGAAAAAAGCAGGTTTTCTTCCAAAGGTGTCTTGTAGGTAACCAAAGATGTAGTTGCCAATAATGCCTCCGACAGCTAGTAGGACCAGGCCCAGCGTCGGGTAGAAGTCTCGATGGCACACTAGGTTCCACTGTTGACAAAAACTTTTTATGTCGTAATCTTTCGCTTATTTATAGATACATAATTATACATTAATGGAATAACCCTGGTGAGCGCCCTAGGCAAGCATCTCATCATCATCATCGTTTTTAAGGTTCGAAGGTGCGAAGGTGTAAGTAAAGCCTTACCTCCGTGACCACAGTACTCTTATAAACGGACTTCTCGTAAGTCCATCCGTTTCTGCAAGGAATGACCTCCGTTGTTGTGCTCTTGAGACCTCCCTGATGAGCCTGATAATTCTTCGCGATTTCGCTGTAGTTCAGATTGTACATAGTGCACTCCGAGTATTGTAACTGACCGTTCTTTAGCTCCATTGGGATGCTAGAAATAGAATGATTTTAGATCAGAGGCCTTTTTACACACAAAAATAAAATAAAATGTGCGCGTTAAATCCCGTTAATCAAAAAAGGACTTATTAATAATAATATGCAACGCGAAAGTTTAAAGTATTTTTATTACTTGAAATCCATCTATTTGGTACTTATTACACGTCAATAGTTGAGCCTATGTCACATCCAGATCGACAATCTTATTCAGGTCGATATTGTATTGAAGTGCGGGCCAAATCTTGTAACGGTTTTGTACTTTGCATTCCACTTACCTTAAATTCTTGGCTAGACTAACATCCGATATGATATCAAGTTCGGGGACCCGACACCAGTGTTCCACATGGGCAGCCATGAACAGCTGTGCGTACGCATGGAACCCGCATGGGATTACCGCAGGAAGCAGAATGAGATAGATGACCATCTTTTGGTACCTTCCAAACTGACCCACGTCTTCCAATATGGCGTCGAAATCCATAGTGAATTTCCTGAATTAAATTTAATGAAATATAATCTATACTAATATTATAAAAACGTAAAATTTGTAAGTTTGTATGTAGGGGGTAATCTTTGGAACCGCTGGTCGGATTGCCAAAATTCTTTCACTGATAGATAGCTACAATGTTCCTGAGTGCTATAGGCTATATAATATCACGCTAGGATCCAATGGAGCCGAGCAGCGGGTGAAACCGCATGGGAGTAGCTAGTTTAATTATATTAATAATAAAAGATGAGGAGGTCCTTCACTCATCGAAGAGGGATGATGTTGGTTGTTTAGTGATGACGTCTATTTCTTCCTTAGAAATAAAAGATATTTTCTTTTTTTATATTACCTATTATTCGCAATCAGTCTAGTAGACTATAATCAAACTTTTGCTAGTATTTTTAGTGAGTTAAATCCACTGCCTTAACACTCCTTAGTTATTTAGCGCTTTCGCTCGTTTTAGCCGATTGATTGGGTTTCGTATTAGCAGAGACCTTGTCAACAGGTTGGGATGGTGCTATAATCTTTCAGCATAGTTGTCTGCGTATTGTTTGACTTCTTTAGCGACAGTCTTCATATTTAGATAGGTACTTTCAGGATTCCTCAGATAACATTTATCTGACTATTGAAAAATAAGCCCTTAGGTAAGTACGTTAAGATTAAACGAATTTAACTTTAGGAGCGAGATATCACCACGAATCAAAATATCGTCGATAGAATTGTTATTTCTGTAAGAAAAGACGCTGGTCTTATGTTTAAAATAAATCTAAAACACTAAATATAAAGTTTAATTAGATATATACGTAATACCTACTGCATTTCTTCTCTATAAGATTAATAATGTCTATGAAAACTCTCGCAAGAAGTTAAATTAAAAAGAGACTAATAAAAAAAATAAAAAACCTATTTCGGCTAATCATTGAGCTGAAATAGGGTTTTTATTTTTTACATTATATTCTTACCTTTTTGTTAGATGTTAATAAAGAGCAATCTTCATCGTCTAGTCCAGAGAGCGAGGTTGTCGAGACTGCCAGATTGTGCAAACTGACTGACAAATCCACTTCACATTATTTCAAGACCCTAAACACTACCGTCAGTACAGGGTGAGGTGACGCTTTTTAAATTCAGTTTTTGAGCTATTTAGTTTATTTTAATTGTATTTCTACAATATCATATTATATTTGTCATTCTTATAAAATAGTCCTCGTGGTAATATGAATTATAGCAGCATCATCATACTCTGAATATATAGTTTGCATATGCATAGTCTTTCGTTGCTCATGGATACCCACAGCAACAGAGGAGCTATGAGGGCGTTGCCGGCTTTTTGATGATCAGGGTTTTGGAGGTATAGGGATTGGGGGAGGGGAAGGATTAGTTGTGTCATCAACATTCCCTGTCAGTGCGCTTTCATTTGAGATCCCACTCGAGTATATTTGCAGACCTTCGGTTACCCTTCCCCACTTACCCCCCATAACTTCTAAACGGCTCAACCGATTTTCGTCAAACATTACTAAAAACACTCGCACGTAAGTCAACTTTAATACGATAAAAAACTAAATTGAAATCGCTTCATCCGTTCAGGCTCCAGGATACCACAGCCAGACAGACAGACACGTCAGTCATAACACCCCACTTTTCCCGTCGGGGATAAAAAAGAAAATATCTAAGGGAATGCCTTATTTAAGTTTATAATCTTAAGTTGATAAAATAAAACAGCCTGTATACAAAATAGGATGCGCGTGCACAATTATCCCATTCGTGGTCCAGTCAGTCAATTCGATTAGCGATATAATTGGAACAGGCAAAGGACTCTTCCCTACCCAGCCAAGGTCGAAACACAGCTATACAATAAGCATAATCGACATACATTGACTTCTACGTTCCATTTAACAAAAACTTCGAAGAAGTAAAACAATCAATGGATGGCGAGCAATTAAAAAAATCTGTAGGATGTGGCGATCAAGGTTTTTCTATAGTCTCCTTTATGTTTTTATTAGGTAACTTGTGATTGGTCTGACGTACTTATTTAATAGTTTTGAAAACATTTTAGGGGTTCGGAAATAAGATAATAATTAAAATTAATTTATAAAAATATTAATTTTATTTGGTAAACACATTCAGTCGGTATCCACAGTTCAAAAAAAAAAAAAAAATAGAAAATAATTTGTTAATTGTGAAAACATAAATGCGAATGGTACAAAATGCAGGGAAAACTCGCTTCAGTTGATACGTATTCTTTTAAATCTTATGGCACATTTTCCTGTACCATTCAGGGTCGTCCTTGGCGACGGATTCTGGTCTTCCATCCTTGTGTCTGTAATGGAACTCGGAGACTCCACGTCCAGGTATGTTGTTCACGACGAACTTGCAGAATCTCTCCACCATTCGCGCATCCCAGTCTGAAGACACGTAGTGTATAGACTCATACTCAACAAGAACCTGGAATTGGAGATCAACTTTTATATTTGAACTAGCTACTCTCACCCGCTGCTCAGCTCCTAAAGATCATAGCGTGATGTTTTATAGCCTAAAGCCATCCTCGGTAAATGGACTAAGAAACACAAAAAAAAAGTATTATTCGAATCGAACCAATAGTTCTGGAGATAAACGCGTTCAAAGAATCTCTCCTACTTAATAACATTAGTAGAAAATTAAAGAGTTGCAACTCTTAAACCCAACTTTAAAAAAAATTATATACATTTTACATTATATGCGTATTCTAGTCATGATATCGCTTGAAAAAAAAAGTGAGATACATTTTTTTTAAACGCGTGTTAATCTAGTTTTTATTTTATGTATATTAGTATAAATATATCCTCATTGATAAGTCCATACCTGAACAGTATACTCTTCGTCTCCAGCGGCGAATGTGAACGCATAATCCCTTGGAGCAGTTCCACTTTCCCCATGTTGATAGAGCTTTAGATCCACCCATTTTATTGGCAACACCTCACCGTTTGGTAGGGCTATCTGACCGAGTTCCAAACTGAAAATTGTAATATCAATTTTATGCCTTCATTGGTTGGAATGATCGCAAATGCTGCCTAAAAGACTTTTCCAGTCGGTCTCTGGTGTAATGGTGCAAATTAACAGGAAAACTGTCAATTATTGGAGATTATTATATTTAGAGATATTAACGCGAATAGTAATTATTTAGATAAATTCCTAGGAACGAATTTGACGGGTAGAAAATTAAAATAAGAGGGTAGAAGCAGATTGATCGTACGAATGCAGGGAGCTTGACATCGCAGCCTCATTCTGTTTGCGACCACGTCCAGGTCGAAACTTCAAGCCTTCCAAGGTATTTAAATAATTACTTTTTGCGTTAATACCCGCTTAATAATATGTTGTTTACATGAAACGCGAAAGTTTAAAAGTTACATTGAAGTATATATTTTTCTAAATTACTGGAGACTGGAATGTCCTTGGAAGGCTATGCCCTAGTACCTGACTCAATGACCAATGTCGAGTGCTTATGCTTAACAGACTCCTGACCGAGAATACCCAGTCGCATAAACGTCTTGGGTCTTATGGTCCATTGACGTTTTATTATCATAAAGTTTAGCTATAGGTTTTTTTTTCTTGAATAGGTCGGCAAACGAGCAGACGGATTACCTAATGGTAAGTAATCAGCGCCGCCCGTGGACACCCGTAACGGAGGAGTAACGAGTGCGTTGCCGACCTTTTAGAGATTAGGGATTGGGAGGGATCGGGGGAGGGGAAGGATTGGGTCTCCGGTAACCTCACTCACACTGCGAAACACAACGCTGTGGTTGTTTCACGTCGGTATTCTGTGAGGCCGTGGTATCACTTCGGTCGAGCCGACCCATTCGTGCTGAAGCTTAGCTCTTCCACACTTAAAGGTGAGTTTTTGGTAGTAATATAATTTTACATTCTTCGGCACAAATGGGTAGGATCGACTGCTTCTTCGGACTGGAAAGGATAAATAACTTACATAGAAGCCGTAGAGGGCTGACAGACGACTCCTACGCTGATATTGGAGCCATTCTCCAGGAAGATGTGGTGGAAGGCGTATCTGTGCATCAGAGTCCAGTCGCGTTTCTGACCTGTGGGCATTTAGAGGTTCATAGTGTCTGATATTATCGAGGTAGAGTAGTACGAAATATCGTATTTTGAAAGAAATAAAAGGTTTATATACAACGTAAATGTACTTACCAAAACTATGATCTCTGAAGGAAGGAAGGGTGTATTCAAAGGATTCGTTTTCAATCTTGAATTTGCATTTCAATGAACCAAACTGCTCGTAATGGGACTGGTGTGCTCTGCAGAATAAATAAAAAAGAGTAGAAGGTTGAGTCATGTTTTGGCACTAATGGGTCGGATCGACTGGAGTGCTGCCATGGCCTCACAGAAAACCAGCGTGAAACAACCACAACGTTGTGTTCTGCCGTGTGAGTGAGACCCAATCTTTGTTTTTGTTTGTTAATCCTTTCCCCCCAATTCTCAATCTTTCCCCTAAATCACCAAATCCCATGTCCCCAAAAGGTCGGCAACGCCCTCTTATCTCCTCTGGTTTTTCGGATTTCCATTTTCAGCGCTGATTGCTTACTATCAGGTGTGGCGTCCTCTAACATAAAAAATCAACCAATAAAACATCTTTAATAATATTCTTACGTTTTAAGATTTTCAAAATATTCTCGGCTCCATTTCTCAAGAGCTATTGATTTGATGATGGCCGGAGGGTGCAGGTCACTGTCGAAGTCGAAATACCTGGAGGTCGCATTCCATTCTCCGAAGAAATCCACTTCCACCATCTTGCTTGGATCGTTTTGGTACCTGGTGAAGATTTGATCCTATAGACTTATCATCAATTTTATATACGGAAAATAGAGTTATACATATAATTCTGTATCTCTAACTATATTGTCTGATACTTGGAAACAACTAAACAAGTAATTCCGAACTTATCTATACTAATATTATAAAGGGGTAAAATTTGTAAGTTTGTATTCTAGTCTTTGAAACCGCTGGTCGGATTGCCAAAATTCTTTCACTGATAGATAGCTACAATGTTCCTGAGTGCTATAGGCTATAAAACATCACGCTACGATTAAATGGAGTCTATGATATTTATGTTATTAAAATTATTCATCCACACATAAAGGGCACAAGCGGTTTTTAATGGTGTGTTCATTTTTTGCCAGTCCACCTTTGGTTGGTATAAAAAACCAGAATCGTACCACATCTGTCCTTTATAAGAGATGGTCCATTTCGCCATAGGAGTCACTGGGATTATCTTAATACCTTCAGCTCCAAACTCTCCGATTTCTGCTCCAAATAAAACTGTATCAGGTATCTTTTTACTACATAGTAGACCTTTTTTCGGAAGCTGGAAAAAGACCGTAAATTAAAAAAAGTGTCAAATAAGCCCCTTAGCTACTCCATTGATTTTTTAAGACACAGCCTAGCCTATGTCAGTCAGGATGATACAAGGATTCCAATGATAATATGCTATGACTAATTATTCTGCCCAGGTGTTTGGAAGTTACAGTGGAAGATAGAAACTCACATGAATTATTTATTATGTTTTCGGCTTACTCACGTAATAATTTGACGAGATACTCGACTAGTTTCAAGCCATGCTAGAGGCCCATATTCAGAGAGGGCTTGAAACTAGTCGAGTATCTCGTCAAATTATTACGTGAGTAAGCCGAAAACATAATAAATAACTCACATGAACACTCTTTTTTAGGCAGTCGTGTAAAAAGAGGGAGGTTTGAGCTGTCGCATTTAAAAATAGTTTTTATCCAAAAGTAAACTAAATAGATTTTGAATTAAATTTACTGTTGCTTTATCATACCTTTTTGAGATTTAGCTTATTTTGGGTACCAAAATGCCCTCAAAACTATCTTCAAATGATTACTTAGTACTTCAAACACCTAAAACTTTACGACTGAATTGCTACAGAATAGTCCAGAGATTTCCAAAAGTGTGGGAGAACCAAGCTTCGGCACAAATGAGAGTGAAACCACCACCACGTTGTTCTGCCATGAAAGTGAGGCTACTGAAGGCCCAACCTCTTTCCCCAACCCTCAACCTCTTCTATAATTCACCTAAACCCTAATCCCCAAATGACCGGCAAAGCACTCGTAACGCCTCTGTTGTTGCGGCTGATTGCTTACTTTAACGTTCCATATGTGTGCTGAAGCATGGCTCTTCATTTAAAGATTCGATCGGGGAAAAGAACGATAGTGTTATGGTACAAATTAACATAACAATATGTTTTTTACTTACTCCGATGTAAAACAGTCCGTTGCACATGCCTAATGGTCTTCGCTCGCAGCCAGCGATCACATAAACGCCTTTGTCCTTTTCACTGTTCGCCGATATGAAGAATACTGCGTCAAAAGCCTGAAAATTTTACCAGAAACCCAGTAAGGAGTTGCCTCGTTTTAAACACATTTTAAGGTTTTGGTTCCGGGGCCAAACGGCCTTCTAATACATAGATGACCAATGACCATACTCCATAGACCAAGGCCCAAAGTTTATCCTTGGGCTGCCACAGAGTGGTAATCACAATTTATTAACCCGGTTTAACAAATGACTGATAAAGATTGACATATAAAGAGCATTCTGTGAAGGGATAATCATCAAGTAACTGCTCTTGCCCAGGGAACAAGGTCTCTTACTGACTAAAAACCATCCATTCCTTCTCCTGATCCAGGTTGGCGCAGTTCCTTAATGCGCTTGACCCGTGGCCCTAGCCATTGAGGGCCTAAATTGCTATTACCTTGGCATGGTCACTTAAGGGTTGAGCCCTGTCCATAAGGTTTGGGTCAGCAATAGCCTTGACTCCCTGCCCTGCTCGGCCATCAGGACCAGCTGCTGAATTCTTGCTGGACAACTGTAATTAACGTTATTTGAAATTAGTTAAACAAAAATACCAATTAACGACTTTCAACCATTTTATGGCCTGGCTTGGCAAAAACAATATTAAAACTAAAGTTGAAAATCCGCAGAAATACAGAAAGAGTATGCTCAGCTTCTGGCTACGTACGTCTGTTTGTTCTATTTTCAGCGTTATGGGGATAGTGTTAGCGCCGACTAGCCAAAGTCTTTAACGGGCCTCAATGGACCGCGAGGCCTTCTAAAGATGACTTATGGATCTCAAAGTCGTAGGTGATTAACCACATCATTCATCCCTTTGGTCGGGAACAAGAAATGCAAGAAAATATACTTATATGGATCGTAATATATGACTTCTTCCTAAATTAGGGCGGCTAAGGCTGTAGGTAACTATTTTGTATTCTATAACAAAGTACCTAGGTACTAAAATCGAAATTGTCGGACTGTAAAGGATTATAATTATAAATAAACATAGCACGTTGACAGCGTGATGTAATTACCTACCTACTTACATACATACGTATTCGTTAATTAGTATGAAATTAATTGATTATCTCACACCTGCGTTACTAGCTGTGTTTTACTGATAATATTATTAATGAATATTATCCGATAGTCACATTGCTTAGTCATGACCACGAGCTGTCACTAAGCCAGTGCTGGCCAGTGCCAAGTTGCACGTAGACAGCCGCAGATCAAAGTACCCTAAACTGAATTTTAACTTTATATGTTTTGGTATAACGTTGAAAGTCTATTGAATACATTTGACGATGTGGGTTGATGTGCTAGTGTTTGCACTAGTAGTGATTCTAAACCGGTATTATAAAGAGCCTTATTGGAAAACTAGATCTAACGAACTCATCTTTACAAAAGTCGTTACATGTAGGTACTTAGTCTTGTTATGAAAACTGTTGGGTTCGAATAAGGATAATATTATCTACATAATTGAGTAGGTACATAGAATCTTAAATGATCCACACACATAATTAAGCAAGTGTAAAAAAAAAACAAAAAAGTAACCCCTCAACAATTTGAAATTGGCGCCAAATCGCGCTCAATATCTCTATAGATAAAAAAGAAAATACAAACGCTTACCTTTCTAACATAATATAAAATTCCAAAAAGCACATATTTCACATAATACCATTTACCAGGGACGGAGTAAATGCCTAAAATCGGCGCAGGATCCTTCCATAACAAATGGTATATAGTTAAAATTATTACAAAGCCGGCGATGCACAGTGTAAGTGACATTTTGCGTCAGCGACAAGGCTCCGACTAAAGAGTATTATTGATAAAGTGATATACGCCATTTAAATAAACGATAAGGTAGATACATTGTTGTTAATTTGGTTCAGTAATAATTAAGTAAGTAAGTACCTTGCATTGTTTTTCTTATCAGATGTTACACTTTATTGTTACAACTATTTATTGAAGATATTGTTTAGTAACTGGTTTTTAGGTTAGGTATAATGGGAGTTTTACAATACATAGGTCTTAAGTACCTATAAATACATACTTATATGCTGTTGGATAACTTGCTGGTTAAGAAAAGGCTTTACTGATTTACGTTTGGATCAAGGTCAATGTAAAATGAATAACAAAAACACCCACAAGCAACGACCATACTCTTTCTTAAAAGGGCGGCAACGTGCCTCCTCTGGTGCCGCAGGTGTCCATGTACGGCGCAGTTTCCTTCCTATCAGTCTTGACCAGTTTGTTCGTTTGCCTCCTTTTCCAAAAAATCCTACACCTGGGTTTAAGGGGTGAAAGTCATCAAATGACTCCTTCCGACCAGAGAGAGGCGAGATGAAGTTTAAAACACTCACTAACTAAAAACCATCTCGTTCTAAGTCCTACTTCGTGCCGCACCACCGTATCTTATTGCGCTCCGCTAATCCCGCAGAGCATCGGCCCTAAGCCCCATTGGTGTTGTTACTTTGAAAAGCGCGGGAATAACGGGTGCGCCTTAGACTAATGGAAAAGGATTAAATCCCCCATTGCGTGCACTGCCGTCCGTCGCGGTCTCTCTCTGTTTGGAAACAGTCTTGTCCGAATGATGGAAAATTAAGGATAGAAAAGTGCCATTTGATGCGGGCAGATGTAAATCTTACCGTCCTCCTCATCGAGTCTTATTCCTCATAATTAAGGGTCGTGGCCCTCTGCAGGAAGTCCATTATGGTTCCATTCGCACGTACTTAAAGCCTAAAAATGGGAACCCTCCCGCCGCCTGTCACCAGACTTTATGTACAATACGGTAGTTTCCAACTTATCAAATTCAATACTTTTGTCCAAATGTCAAAAACTATACTTTTCTATGAAATTTGTATGAAATATCGAGTTACGATGTCATAGTTTTTAGCGTCAAATAGTTTAAAATTATTTCTTAAAAATAAGCTAAAAATATCTCAAATTCAATGCATCGATATATCTTTTCAGTGATCGAATAAAAGTACAGTTATTTTCCAATATTTTATTGTATTGAAACGCCAAATTAATTAATTTTTCACCTAGGAAACTACTTAATTGTACATGCAGTTAGGCAATTTAACAGATTCTGTAGCCGCTAGTTCTTCGTTTCCCCGTTTTTATCCGGCGTTTGGTTTGGGCCATGCGTTAAAGTAGTTCCAGGGAAAGACAGAGCCCTTATTTTAAATCTTAAACTGACGAGATCTTTTGTTGTTAAATATTTTTTCTAATTAAAGAATATTAAAAACATAACAAAAATATATATTTTTATAACCAGATCATTGCTCAACCTGTTTTTTAGTATGTATGCCAATATTTCCCATTTTTTCCCTCCGGACTTGAATATGAAATAAAAAAACGCCGATAGGCGTCTGCCGCAGCGAATGGGTCAACACATAATACTTATTTCTTCAAAAGGTTTTTTTGTGGGGGAAGGAAATCATCGAATGGAACTCTTGACCTAGTTGGGGCGAGAGGGTTTCACTCTTACTGGATAAATTTCACTCTGTTCCTTCTCCTGCCCATGTTCAGGCGATGCCCCCCGTTCGCCCACCTTATAAAAGTAAGCTGGTAGTTTCAAATATATATAAGAAAATGATATAATCAGCAAGGAACTTTTACAATCGAGAGTTTTATATTTACACTAGCGTCCCGTCCTGGCTTTGCACGGGTGTAATGCTGATACTAAACTTCTCCACTATATAATGAATGTTTTTTAACCCATACAAACCTTCCTCTTCAATCACTCTATAGATTAAAAAACTGCATCAAATTCGGTTCCGTAGTTTTAAAGATTTAAGTATACGTAGGGATATAGGGACAGAGAAGGCGACTATGTTTTATACTGTGTAGTGAAAAGGCAAATAAAACAACAATGAATAGGTACTATTAATATATTACATTTAATTAATAAAGGAAAAATAACAAAAATCCTAAAATAAACTATAATTGTAACAATTATAAATTAGTTCTTATCTTTTACTCCATACGGCTTTGATGAGTAGACGAAAATATAATCTGTACTATAACAATGGACTCCTAACACTAGGGGATAAAGATCAAATTGCAAAGAAAAAAACCAGCATTTTTTTTATATTTCCGTGATGTTTCCCTCGGAACTATTAAATCTAATGTGATAGGTAGTATATTAAATATCACAATACTGACCATTAAAGTTAATTAATAGCGTGTTTTAGAATTTTATGATATACAGTATCTATGGTTTTGCTAGAGCAGTCACCTTTGTGCAGTGTTTTAGTTTATTACCAATGATAAATGATTTCGAGTGATATGATTGGTTAATATTGACCAATCAGGTAACGATGTTAAGATGAAAATACGAACAGCAAAGCCTTTTACCAAAATTTTGTTGGCAACTGTTACACAACTTATGTGTTGAATAAAGAATTAGGATTATAATATTTATCATACTTCGGGCTGATTTTTCAATAGACAGATAAATATTATCTGAGATATAAAATTGTCGCTGTCACTGTCTTACACAAACATTCTGATGCGACAGCATCATAATTATTCGCCAGGTAACTTTTATCTAACCATTGTAAAACAGTGATGTGAAATATCTCAGCTGAAAGGACAGATTTTAACAACATAGTAATAGTAATTATACTGTTTGTTTAACAATAAGAACTGAAAATATATATCAAGTTTTCAAAGCGCACAACAGTTGCCAACTTCACACCATTCAGTTCTGAAGTTCGTCTCTAACTGTCACTTGTACGAACTTCAGAGCAGTGACAACTTTTGACATATAATACGTACATAGACAATATATTTGCTTCTTTTTAAATACATACATAGCAAAGGCGACCTTATTTATATCACCTAAGTATAATCTAATGAGAGATTATTGCATGGGAAAATTAATTTTTGACATGATTCGTCTCCAGCTATTTAAAAATTTCTAAATACTAGTTACATAAAGCTGATACAAGATGGAATGCTGATGATTAATAGACTTTATTTGCTTACATGTTTAGGTACATTTTGCAGTGGCAACATTAACTACTTTAATATCAATGAAAAGTGTACTTCAGTGTTAAGAGATAAAGTTTGAAGTCGTATATTATAACATATTTGTTTTAAATCTCTTGTAAGCCAATTGGATAGATTTTTATTGTCTTCAATTTAAGGTTTAATACTTAATATAATACTTCAAGCGCTTTTCTGACGAATCATGTCCTATTTTGAAAAGGGCTCCGGTCCACACTTTTTAAATGCAAATACAAAACAGAAAGTTTAAACAAAATAAATAATAGTCTTTTCAATGGAATGTCATTTCACCCCCTAGTGGGGGATTTACTGACATTCAGCTAGACTGGTGCCAACCCCCACTTTTTAGGGGGAGAGGCTAGAAAAGAGCCAATATAATAGATAATAAATAGTAAGTATAGATCCTAAATACGTGTCTTGGTGTCCGTTTCGCGTATACTTAACTACTATCTACACCAGTGGTAACTCAAAATTCGACTTTACACAGTTAAAAATAAAGTCGAAGGTAGATCAACAACACTGAATAACATCGAACCGCCAAATATCACATTTACAAAGTATAACCTAACTTGTACTGTATCGTAACGAGGTAGGGTCGTGAATGCGATGCGTTTGAAACCAGCTTTTTAAGTAGAAATCTCAACCTTATTAGAAAGTGCGTAAAAGCTTATAGAGTACATTAAAAACACCAACACACTTTACCTTTACAAAGAGTATAATCCGAACAGGATTAAAAACGAAACTAGCGCCGCCAAATGTGAACTAACGGACACCAAAACACGTTGTCTGACGTTAACGTTCCAAAGACCGACGCCCTTAATTCCTATCCTAATCCCTGGCGGCCCCAATGATGGTGAGGATGTAAAGGAATATATTAATGATGTCCAGGTAGAGGTTCAACGCAGCAAAGATGTATTCTTCTGGTGAAATGCTGTACTTGTGCTTGCCTCCCATCATGAGCTGGGTGTCGTAAACCAGGTACAGAGAGAAGATCAGGGCTCCGATGGACGCGTATACTAGAGTCACCACTTTGTTGCCAGGTATGAATATGCACACGATACCTGGAATAGACAAAATAAAATGTTTTGGTTTAATATTGTAAGGTTAAGGATTGAGTTTTGTCACTATTTGTGTCTTTTTTTTATTCACTTTAAGTGTGGGAGAGCCAAGCTTCGGCACGAATGGGTCGGCTAGACCGGAGTGATACCACACGGCTTTAAAAAAAAACGGCGAGAAACAACTACAGTGTTGTGTTTCGCCGTGTAAGTGAGGTTACCGGAGGCCCAATCCTTCCCCACCCCCAGTCCCACTCAATCTCCAAATCCCTAATTCCTAAATGGTTGGCAACGAACTCGTAACTCCTCCGTTGCGGGTGTCCATGGGCGGCGCTGATTGCTTACCATCAGGTAATCGGTCTGCTCATTATGTATTGATAGTTGGAAAAAAAATACATCGCAGCCCCTTTTTTTGCATAAAATCTTAAAATGTCATAGTAGTAAACAATTAAAAAAAAAGAAAAAGAAAATAATATGTATAAGTTATGACGTCATAGTATTTTTGCGTCAAATAGCTTACTTATTTCTAAACAATTTGATGAAAAATATCTAAAACTTAGTGTATCGATCGATCGATGAATAAACGTATAGTTTATTTTTCTATATTTTATTGTATTGAAATGTCGAATTAATTTATTTTTGACCTAGGAAACTACTCAATTGTCTAAAGGAGCTACACCTGCCAACAAACTGGTTTACAGTTTGGCAGAATTATTATACATATTTGTAAATTTGCTGTAATCTATCATATAAAAACATCTGAAACAAATGCTTTTTATTGTTTTTTTTTCAATTATAACTTACCGAATATGAGCAGTACGACGGTGGCGCAGAGTAGGAACCCGCCCATGACTGTGAAGTCCCACTTCGTTTGAAATGCGAACAGAGTGAGAGCCAGACATACTGCGGCCGTTATACCCACTGCCATCAGCACCTGTACAGGACAAACGGGGAACATACAATATACGTGTGGGAGACCCATGCTTTGGCACGAATGGGTCGGCTCCACCGGAGCGATACCACAGCCTCACAGAAAACCAATCCTTCCCTAATATCTAAATCTCCAAATCCCTTATTCCCAAAAGGTCGGCAACGCATTCGTAACTCATCTGTTGCGGGTGTTCATTGGGGCGCTGATTGCTTACCATCAGGTAATCCAGTCAGCTCGTTTGCCAACCTATTACTTAATGTAAAAAAGTCGTTTCAAAGAAATAACTTACCGCATCGACATCGTAGACGCTAGAAGTGACACCGAGTAGGAAACTCTCCGCTACAGTGAAGATACCAAGGAATATGAAATTCATGGGAGCCTGCCTTCGGACGTTGTGACAGCAAGCCATCACGATCAGACATACGAACACCACAGCGAACGCTACCCAGCTGGAAAAAACAAACAAATAGTTGATTGAATTTTAAGCAAAAGGCATCGGAAGCTTTTATTGGAAGGTTTGCCTGAATCTGTATAATCATAGCCATTAAGTATAGGTATTATTATATTATATAATATAGCTACTCTCACGCGGTTTCACCCGCTGCTCGGTTCCATTTAAACGTAGCGTGATGTTTTATAGACTATAGCACTCAGAAATATTGTAGCTATCTAACAGTGAAAGAATTTTGGCAATCCGACCAGCGGTTACAACGATTACCCCCTACATACAAACTTACAAATTTTACCTCTTTACAATATAAGTATAGATGAGTATATTTTTATATATTGTAAGTATTGTTACATATAAGTATCTAGGTATCTCGTATGTCTACACTAATACTATAAAGAGGTAAAATTTATAATTTGAAAGTTTGTATGTAGGGGGGTAATATTTGGAACCGCTGATCGGATTTAAAAAAATCTTTCACTCATAGCTAGCTACAATGTTCCTGAAAGGCTATAAATTATACTGATTTGCGTATTTTAGTGGAGCTATCGCTGTAAATGATGCTGCGAACGATTTTAAAATCTCATGATACATTACTACTATACACTTGCGAAGCAGCAGGCAGAAATCTTATATAAAACTAAGTCTGTTGCTTACTTCTTGCCAATCATTGGCTCATTTCTGCATCAAGCAAGACTCGACCAAATGCCTAAGGTATTAAATCAGCTTTTGGACTACTAAGTTTCAAATAACCAGAGGATAGCGAGTTAAGCTGGTATGTCATACTTACAAGAGCCATGGATTCCTGTACGCCCATAGTTTAGTCGGTTTGTGGAACAGGAAGAGTGCAATAAAGCCCATTGTCACAAGTAGTTGACACATCAAGATGGAATACACCTGCGAACAAAACACTTTATTGTTATAGAGCTTTTTGAAACATAATTTGTGACCAATTATAAAGTAGGTATTTTGAGAAAAGCATTGCAACTGTGGGAGTACCTTACTTCGACACGAATGGGTGATCTAGACTGTGAATGACACCACGGCCTCATAGAAAACCGGCGTGAAACAACGTTTGCGTTATTGTTATGAGATTTAAGTTACTTGATGCCTAACTCTTAATTGCTAAACCCCACGATCTTCAAATTTCTAACCACCTCCAACAGGCCAGAAAATCTATTTATCACTCCTGTGGTGTTGCGTCCATGGACAGCGCCGATTGCTTAGCTTACCAGAGATCTGTTTGCGCAATCAATGAAAGCTTTAAGTATTGGGCCTTTAGCAATCTCATAGTGTGTAGTGAGGCTGCGTCATCACTTCAGTCGATAAGGTCCAAATGTTATAAAAAACTATTATAATAATAATTACCTTGCGGATGAATCCTCTCCGAATGGACTGCTCGGTGAAATCGAATCCTTTGACCTCGCCATCTTCTCCCACACCGCCGGGCGGAGGCGCATATCCTGCTGGCTGAAATAGAAAAAAAAAGGTTTTAATGAAGTTTTTCAAACTTGGAACAGGGGTATTATTAATGGAATATCAAGATCTTTGGTGCAACCATTATCAAGAGCTACAAGGTAAGGTTAAGTTGATGCCTATAATGGTTCGGACTTTTCTTATTTTTTTTATAATTTAGTTCAATATAATATAATTTCCTCTTTCTATATAAAAACGTTACATGAAGTTTGTATGGACCACTCCGCAGTTTCATCATAATTTTCCTCATTTATAATGACTAGATTTTTTCCATTATACCCCCAAATGGAGAGATTTATAATGTCGTCTACGACAGCGTATTAAAATAATATTCTAAATGACAGAGAATCAGTGTTACCCTGAATTTAATGGGAGCAAAGCCAAGATATTTTGCACAGTTATCGACGAGCCATGTGCATCATGTATCAGCGAGCATTATTTATTACAGAACATTAACATATTTGCAATAACATGTCAAGTTGTAAGGCCAAGTGAAATCGATCGGGCGACACGGCTACACTAATGATGGGTGGACAAAAAATCAATAGCTTCATCAACGAATCTACTTATATGAGTCAAGGTCAAGGTAGAGCTTGATATCATTAAACTTATTTTACTAATAATTCAATTTTAAAAACAATAAATTTCTTGTTAATAACTATGTTTTCAAAGCCGAAGCAGTTCATTGAACACCATCATCAGCCTACTTATAGACTCACCGCTGAGCAAGGGCCTTCTCCAGAAGTTTTGAGCATTATTCACCACGCTTGCTCAAGGCGGATTGGCAATTTTAAACTTAAACTTAAATTAGAATTCGTAACAAGGTATTACTACATAACACAAATACGGTGGATTACTTCTAAGGTGCACTTTATACATACATAGATTATGAAGTAGTGTTTGTGGGAATGGGAACATCGAAGCATGTAGAAAACACGGAACAAACGACCTACTAACGTTGAACTCAATAACTCGGACTGTGACCGATTTTTAAGAAAATGGGCTACTTATGTATACATCGTCTTATTATAACCTAAGAGCTACATTTTAAAGCTTGGCTTACCTCTGTAACATAAAAAATGAGCTACGTTTGATAAAGAATTTCAGGTCAGTTGACGTCCTATGCGGTTTTTTCGGCGGTGGCAGTAGGAGTAGCGTTCATTAGTGCGCAATGCGCATCCTAGCTGTCCAGGTGATAATCCTGAATTATATTAAATCAATAAAGGTGACGCTACCTACCTTAAAACATTTTAAAGAGGGTCATTTTTTTTTGTTTTTGAAGAAGTTCAACTGACATATGTAACTTTTTAATTGCCTTTTAGTAGCTAGTTCCCGTATTAAAAGTACAATCCAAAAAATGCTACTTTACTGAACCCAGTTATTTTTAGTTCCGATATACGAAGTACCGCGGTCCGACGTGTAACAGAAGAAGGATAGGGGTGGTTGTCAACAAGAGTCATTGGATAACTTCTCCACCGCAAAAAGAGACCGTGTCGTCCAGCCACCGCAGCAGGCGGGCGTCGGGGATCGAACTACGATCTCCAATAGAGAGACCGTGGCCACTTTTGTCAGTTAAGTTATAATCTCTAATATATTTGCAGCATCCATTACATTAGTGGGAGCCTCTAAACCTATAGTAGATAGGGCGTATTGTTCACCTAGCTACCAGCTAAAGTGACGAAGGATCGAAATAGACCGTTATTAAAAAAATTGGGTGCTCAAAAAAACTTTTGCTACCGACCGAGGACCGATAGTATTGTACGGGCCATAAATGTCTATGCCTTTTTAAAGGCCCATATTAAATACGGACATTATCCAAATAGTGGGTTTTTGTGTGTTGTCAAGACTATAACGGACTAAAAACCTCTCCTGCTCTAGGCCAAATTCTATACAGCCAATGTGAAAACTCTGTCTGATTAGGCAGCTAGGGGATCGTTCGTCAGCTAAATTTAAACTTGTTTACCCTAAGGCCCAAGGGACGCATAGTTTCAATAGTTTTAGAGCCTGCTAGGGTATATTCACTATGTAGTAAGACCTATTAATAACTTTTTTCTATGAGAAAGAGAAGCAAATGTACTGATATACCCACTGCAGATAAGTGGACAGCGTCACCTGCAAGTCTGCAACACCGGATGAGTGTTGCCTTTCTGTCTTTCACATCAAATTGGTGAACGTCAAAAATTTGTTTGTTTTTTCTATTTTTGTGACAGGTATTGCGTCAGTTACATATTTGTAGTATTAGTGTCCACTTATGCCCGGTTCCTATATTTAACGAATCGTCGTTGTATACGCATTACGACTAAATGACATTACGAATAGTTATCTTGACCGTCTACTGACGGTTAAAATATTTATAGGAACACCACATACACCATAGATCTCCATACAATTCGCTTACCGACATCCGTTAGTTGCAAACCGTCAGTAAGTTGCACGACGAGACGTTTGTTATGGGAACGGTTTTAGCTTACGAGTCGTATATAAAACTACTATTCGTAACTAAAACGGATCGTTTCTCAATTATAGGAACCGGGCATTAGAAGACGCAGGCCGTATTATGTAAATATACCGGTTTAAGTGTCTCCAAATGTTGATTGTTTTAAATGGGAGCCATGGTTAACCAACCGGTATTTTATATCGGTAAATAGATTGTCATTTTTTTTCTTGAATATTTGGGATCACTATTATAGTTGGATTGAATTTTGATTTTTAGTGTGGTGATGTATTATTATGTTTCTCTTAAACACGATTATTCGTATTTGCTATTATCGATTGGTGCTAGGGTACACTAAAGCCTACCGTTATACCAATGGTTTAATATATAAAAACACGAATTAAATAATATTACAATAATCGAGAATACACGTATGTCCCCTTGTTTCCCTTAAAGTACCTAAAGAGCTTGTTGACTTCTTGAATGCCGAAAAATCACGGTAGCACCGTTATAGAAAAATAAACTCAACATGATGATCCTGTACGTCATCACATGTTTATAGCAAACACATTACGAATCATTGAAACGTGAACCATACACGTTGGAAATTGCTATTTTTTTATTTGGGTAACAAACTGATGCTTTGCACCAAAATAATTATACATCATTAAAACATTTACGCCGAGTCAGAACAAGAATCCATGAAATACAATATATGGTATTTAGAAGATTATAGCTATTATAGCTTGTCTAAGTTTTGGGGTGAACTTTTACGACCGGAAGGTAAGATGAGATGGCGCCTAGACGTCTGGGGTACAAATCGATATTTATGTTTACACAAAGACAACGCCAATTCATACTTATTTTGAGGTTATGCCAACAGAAATGAGTTCTGAAACGATTTAACGACAAAAATGAGTGAATTTTTAGGATCTTTAAAACCGAGTTGTATACTTATGTAATATAGACTGTTTAGATAATCGATAATCGGATGAGTTATCAAATATATTTTCGTTTAATTAATTATTTTATCAAATTTCAAATAAGTTTTATTTTTTTCCGGAATGATACGTTATACTACAAATATTATAATAAAATGAAACACAAACTGTATGCTAGAGCCGGACAATTTTAAAAAAGGAGCTAGCTTCACTGACGAATAGACTGGCAGAATATTATTATATTTTAACGTTTCAAAGGTACCTTTTTATGGTTAGTTGCAATAAATAACTAAGGCTTTTGAAGTTCAGACTGCCATACAATAAATACGGGGTTACGATTGCAAGCCCACCAATTTACCGCAGGCCCAGAGCACCAGAACGGGGTGGTGTTTAGTCAGTAAGAGTCTGACACTCCCTCTCGCCCCACCCAGCCCAGAACAGGACAAGTATAATAGCGGTATTACGTATAGTTTGAAATACAAATTGGGCAACGTATTTAAAAACACCGGGTTACTTTTAAAACAAAATAAATTTTGGTTATCTTCATCACACAACGGTGTTATCTGGCGACATATCTTTATAAGCACATGTAAATCAAGTCACAAATCACCAAAAAATCACTCAAACCACTGATGCTAAGCCTAGAATTTTATAAATTTCTATAATTACTAGAAATTTCTAAGGAAATTCACCTGGGACATGACGGTGCACGTGTTAAAGTTCTTTGTAAACTAAGTTGTTATACACTCCCTATCTAACCGGGTAGATAAGCTGATTTCGAGGTATTGGACGAGTGGGTGGAGCCGAAATGATAACTTATCTGACTAGGCATAAAATATAGCAATGCTATTATTCATTGGAATAACGGCAAAGCAGGATGCGTATATTGCGCGTCCACAGATTTTATATCCGCTTTCAATAAAGAAAAAATAAAGAGACACGTCGTTGCACGAGCAAACAAATGACCAAATTCAACAGAGGTGCCATCTGGTGAGTGAAGAAAACTCATTGCGCTGTTGCTTGTGGAGAGTATTTGTTAATATGACAGGTACAGTAACAGAAAGAACACAACTTTACGTATTTAGAAGCCTTTCTATATATAAACGAAAAATCATCAAATACTTTCCTTGGGCCTTGGGTCGACTAAGAGGGAGTATCAGAATGTTTTTGACTAAAACCCACCCCGTATATCTGCGGCTCCGTGGCGTCCGTAGTGCACTGTTTTATTATCTACTATAAATTTAGGAGCTTTTGGTCACATAGTGCACTTGCCGCAAGCAACATTTACAGTTGATTAATAAATAGTGATAAAATCGGAACGGACACCATATTAAACTCTGATGCTTATCGGCCTTTCAGACAATATAGCCTAACTATCATTAGTAGACTGCGTGGGTATCAAAATGAGGATTTGTATTGGATAATTATGATGACCCCAGCTTAATGTGAGACGGCGGTCTGTTACTGACACAATGTGTTTTTTATTTTTCATTAAATTGTAATTAGTTTAATTTCAAATTAAAATAGCGTTTTAACCTTGATTAAAAGCCGTTTGAGAAAAACTGTATAAGAAAATAGTTCAGACATTTTTATCAGATCATGATAAGAATGTAACTGATACAATACTATGTGGCCCCTTATCTGTAATCTTAGAACAAAGAATACATTTTTTAATAACTATAGAAACCGGATTAGTTTTATACTAATGCTATGAATAGTTTATTAATATCAACCTGTCTGTCTCCAAGTAGATGATTTGGTTATGTGATGAGTGGTTTTTTTCGATTATTTCGTATTGTGGTGTAATTGACTGACGATGGGGCATTAAAATGGGTCCAAGGGAGCTACTCTGATCACTCATCGTACCTGAGCAATGAATTCGATATGCTTTCTTTGGTCAATTTTCATTGACTTAAAAAATGTTAGTTTCCTATATTATTGTACACAACAAAAATAAGTGAAAGTGCTTACGCGTGGGAGATATTGAGATATTGATAGTTTATCATCTCTCATGTCATGTCATGTATCTCTGAAGATGGGATGATTAGGTCTACCGATTCGCATGATGAGGTTGGACGACTGAGGGCAACGAGAACCTTCCAATCCCCCCTCCCCCACACTGTTAAGAATTTGGCTTATTTTCTAAATGCTCTTTTTTAGCATGTAATCAACCTATCTATCCCTAATTTGACGACTGGTTGTAAATACGGAGTTAGTTTTTTCTTTTAAGTTCTTTATCCCCCCTGCTGTCTACGGGTATTATTAGTTGGTATTATCAAAGGGATACTTGGTATTCCCTAAAATTATGCTAACCTAACGCGGTTGAATTACTACTGAAATCCATTTATGGGGTCTCCTACTATTAGGCAACTGACGCAGG